CGAAATGGCAATTGAAAAGAAAGGAGGGTGAGGGCGAAACCCGTTTGATTCGCTTTTTAACTCCAAAATGTCAAGGCTTATTGTCCCTCACAGGGGTGGAGAAGTTACCTGCGCGGGACCAGTTGTTCCTAAGGAAATTTGAATAAAAAGAGTAACCAGAGTAATTTAGTTTCTCAGGAAGAATAACCCTTGGAAGAGTCGTTGGGGAAAAAAAAATTCACCACTGGAAGTTCAAAATCATTAAGAGAGTTGCAGAAATAAAAAAAAAAACAAAATTTGGATTGGATCGCCGAAGAACGAGCCGTCAGACATTGTGAAAGCCACGCGCCGGCCTTCGGAGCGAATTTGCGAAATGATAGTCATCCTGGAAACTTATCGAACTAGTATCAGCTTGAAGAACTTTTCAAAAGGTATCTTTTGAAAAGCTGAGAAGATAGGATCTCCGGGCTCGAGGTCAAGATGACCGAAAAACCAAATCCGGAAACACAGAAAATTACCGTATCTCGAAATTTTCCTACAGTAACCCAAGTTGGCATGTACTAAAAAAGTTTCTAAAATTGCAATACCTATCGATTGATATATCACTTGCCTAGTAGAAACTCTTTAATACATAGATACGCAGGTGCCTACCGTAACCCGGCTACAGTAGCAGGAAAGGGCTCAAAAAGTTTGGTCCGCATTTCTCTGCATTCGGTTCCTTGGAAGCTTTACAGCAAGTGGTGAAAATTCATCCACACACCTTTCCAACACCTCTACATACCTTCCAGCAGCCTGCTGGAAGGCTTCTTGCAGGAAGTTTGAATTTTTCACCTTCTGAACATCTTCCCAAGGCCTTCTCAATAACTTCTGGCTTCCATTCACTTATACCGTTTGAGCGACGCCGGCGCTACAAGTCGATTCATATCCTGACATCAGTGATAATCAGTGAACTAGCTCTAGTGATATATCCGTGCTTGTGCGTGACGGCTGGGGATTTTGAAATCGTGGTTTTCCACTACCAACATTGCTTGAACCCTTTTGCTCAGGCGAGTCCAGGGGAGGTGTTGCGAAGGTAGCCAGCAGGTGGTTGGAAGGTGTAGGAAAGCTATAAGGCCTTTTCAGAAGGTAATTGGGAGGTCTTTGAAAAGTTAGAAAGAAGCCTTCCAGCAGGCTTCTGGAAGGGATGTAGATGTGTTGGGAAGGTATGTAGAAGACGTTTGACGACTTGCTGGAAAACTTCCAAACGCCTTCCGAGAAACCTAAGCCTGAGTGGTTTTTGTCGCGGCGGGGATCGAACTTTTGACCCTGTGAGCCATAGACAGGCACACAACCTGTTGCGCTACGGCGCGACAAGGCTTTTTCTGTCTGGCTTTATGAAAACTTTCCATATTGTGACATATCCGTTTTTTTTTGACGGCTAGGGATTTCCACCACCAAAATTTCTTAAAACTCTTGGTTCGGCCGCGGCGGGGATCGAACTTGTGACCCTGTGAGCCATAGACAGACACACAACCTGTTGCGCTACGAGGCTTTGAAGAAGTCTCTTTCTGTCCAACTTTACGAATATCCAGTTTGCTGTCCGCAGAGCGATAAAACAACTGTCGTGGCTCTTTATCAGCCAGAAAGTGTGCAAGGAGGCCAGCGAACGGCCCGCCTCCGTTTATCGATCAAGCACAGTTGCGTTCGCCCCGGCCCCACTTTTTTGTTATCTTGCCCATTGCCTCCCTTTCCTTCACAGTTCTCTTTCCCAAGTAATTTTTTCAAAGTATATTTTGAATAAATCCTCCAAAAATAACTAAAAAAAAAAAGGAGAAACAAGTCGGTCCGCTTTGAAACTCTCAAACGCTTGGGTCCATGTTTCACCTCTTGAAAAAAAGTTTTTTTTATTTTTTATTGGTTCATTGGTTGGATTCTGAAATAGTTGAGGTTTCTTGTGAAGGACTTGGCTTGGAAATTTGAACTTTTCATTTTTTTTTCACCCTCGGAAAGCTTGGAAAGCCAATTTTTGGCCGTTTTCAAGCTGGCTCTTTTTTCAGTCGAAATATTGAGCGCAGTTTTCTGCCCGAGGCTTCCAATTTCATTAATTCTCATTTCGAAAAACCTACAAAATCTTTTTGAACTTTCTGAAAAAGAAAATCAAAAAAAGGACTCGAACCTTTCAAATCGACCAGAAAAATCTGAAATTTCCCAAAACTTTTTTTTGATTGATTCTGGCCAAAGTAATACCTGGATTCTTCGAATTTATCACAATAATTTGTTTTAATTTTAATTTTATTGGTAAGAATCTTAATCATCGATAAACATCCTTGAAAAAATTTGCTCTAAAAGGAACTATGTAGAAAATTTAGTAGGGTTTTCAGGATGGATCTTTTTAAAAATTTCAGGGAACAAGAAAGACGGTCTGAATCTCCACGGAAATTCGAGAAAATAACACTTTGTGATGAAAGAGGAATTCAAAAAAGGTGTAAACTTTAAAAAAAGGTATTTCTTATGACCCCAAAACATTTTTAATCTGTAAAAGACCGGATAAATATGAGAAGCACGATAAAAGAAGAAAAAAATGAGCGTTTTTCAGGGTAATTATTGAACTAATAGTCACTTAAGTGTATTGAAAAAAAATTGCTTTATGAAAAAAACCTGTTCAATGAATCAAATTATCCTTCAAGAGATGAAAAAAAAACCAGTTAGAACCGGAAATACAGACTTGAAATTTGTGAATTTTTGTTTCAAATTAAAAAAAAAAATTCAACGAAAAGCTTTGAGCTTTTCAACCCGGACATAATTTTTCGGTTTTTTTCTTTTTTTGTCCCTTGGTGAGAATTTCGAACTGATTTTTTTCAGTCAGAATTTCCCCGAGGTCTCAGTTTATCGCTTGATTTTTTTAAACTTATTAAAAATAGTTTAATAACGAAGTTTCTCACAACATTAGCTCGTTTTTTTCGAAGGATCTTTTCACTCAAAAAACTAAGTTAATGAAAACGAATCAGAACGTCTTTCATCCATTTACAAACGCTTTTTTTCAGGTTGAAAAATTTCATAATCAGATCGAAAGCTTGTCTTTGATGTATAAAAGTTGAAACTATCGTAATTTGGATATTTCTAAGAAAGAAAAAAACAATATACACAAAACATTTCCAAACCCGAAGTCCTTATTGGTTAGAGATAAAAAAATTCATCTAAAAAAATATGTAACTTGGAAAAATTTGCACTCAGAGAAAAAAAGATCAAAAAAACTGAATGTCCGGAATATTTAGGAAAAATCATCAATTTATCAGCAAAGTTTTTTTGCTGAGACCGCAAAAACCAATGAAAAAAATTTTTGAATAGGATCTATGATTAATTACATAAAAAAATGCCGATGGGATTCATATTAAGAAAATTCAACTCTTGACTGGGCACAAAAAAATCCCTACCACCAGTAAAAAAATAAAATTTTTAAAATTCGAAAAAAAGGGGCTTTTTAATAAATGATAAAAAAATCTCATTTCTTGTGGAAATCCCCTATTTGCTGCAATTAATAAAAGTCCATGTGTAGAAAAAAATTTCAGTTCAGAGAAAATTTTTTTAAAAAAATCATCAAAAAAAGTCGTGCTCGTCATAATATTGGTGCGTCGAAAAAGATTTTGAAAAAAATTCGAAAAAAATTAAAGAAAAAGGAAGGCTTCGGGCACTTCCAACCCGATCATATACATCGGTTTCTTTTTGAATTTTTCCTCACTTGGGGCGATTTTTCAACTGTTTTTTTGGTCTTTTTTTCGTTTTGAAGGGCTCGAAAAACAGTTGAATTTTTGCACGAGTTAATAAATTTTGACAGTTTAAAAAAATGATTATTTATCTTTTTTTGTCAAATTTTAAAAACAAAAAAATATATCATTTTGATGAGGCTGAAGAAATTTTAATTTATTCGCAATAATCATACTATGCAAGGGCAAAAAAATATAAAATCCATTTTTTTCATGTTTCCTGGGCACTTATAATCATCACCAAACAGTACTCATCTAGGCCTAAAAATGACCATAAAAAGTGAATAAATTATCGATAAAATAATAAAACGGCTCTTTTTTTTCTTTTTAGGTGCCAAAAACTAACGACTTTTCTATTATCTAAAAAAATCCAGAAAAAAATGAACTGAAGAAAAGTTTCGCGCTTTTCAACCCAATCATATACATTGGTTTTTTTAAAAAATTTGTTTCACTCGGGGCATTTTTTTCTGTTTTTTTATCGCTTCAAAGAGCTTGAAAATACAGTTTTGCACGAGTTAAAAATCTTTCCTCTTTCGAATTTTTCGCAGCAATATTATATTTTTGCATATAAATTTTAACTGACGGAGCAATTTATCTTCAAAAAAAAAAACCAGGGAACATCAGACTTTCAAATTATTCATTCCATTGACCACAGCAAAATGGATTTTCAAAAAAATAGTGTAGCTCCTGATTTCTTTAAAGCTTTATTATTTTTTTATATTTTTCAGAACAAAGAGAACGAATGGAGCTGCACAAGTTGTTCGACCTTCATAATTTTTTTCGTTACTCAGGCAGGAATTGAACTGAAAAATCGTAAAAAAAAAAAAAAATTGTATTTGGACTTTTCACGTTTCTTTGGTTCAATATAGTCGAAAAAGTCCAAGGATTTCAAGTAAAAAAATTTTTAAGAAAAATTTCCGAATTTCTTACCACATAACTCACGCCTAGATGAAAAATGGTTATGTAAAAGTTCGAGTAAAATAAAAAAAAATAAGTAAAATGAGAAGGTGAAACCTCACGAAAAAAAAATGAACTGAAGAAAAGCTTCGCGCTTTTCAACCCAATCATATATATTGGTTTTTCCGAATTTTTTTTTTCACTCGGGACAATTTTCTAACTGTTTTGCGCTTCAAAAGCTTGAAATACAGTTTTGCACGAGTTAAAAATTTTTCCTCTTTCGAAATTTCCCCAGCACCATTATATTTTTGCATATAAATTGACGGAACTCCTTTCATCATGGACCACCAAAATTGGCGCCGTGCGAGCAGATGGTCGGACTCAAATCCTGCTGTTATTCGTCAAGTGATTGAGCAGGTCACAATGAAGTTGCGGTATACGAGCGCGGCAGCTTATGCCCGCGACGTGGTCGTCCTTTTGGTCTATACTGGTCAGTTGCGCCGTGCCCGTGACCTCGCGTGTCTTTTGGCGGTTCCTGCCACCTTGAGCACGGACATGCTGGAAATGCCGCATCTTCTTTTGCGCTGAGCTTCTGCCTGCTGCTCGGACCTCCTTCCCGGCTTTGCACCGCATGTGTGTCGGCAACGAAAACCAAGTCTGAGCGGCCGAGGTGGCCCACGCGGCGACGATGCACCTGGCGGCTCAACTCACTCACCTTCAATTGGAATGGCATCTCTTTTACCCGGCTTTCTCCAGAGGCGAGCGCTGTCCGGGCCGAGCTTCAATTCGTCAATCAGATCATTGTCACCATTCACGCAATTGTGCAGGAAGACAATGGATTCGCCGAGCAGGATTTTGGCGAAAATTCGACGCGACTGAGGATCAACCAGTCGGCAATTTCTGGCTGCTGCATTTCTGAATCTGCTGCGGCGCGTCTTCATGTTTAAGCTGGGCCAAGGACGAAGGGCCAGTTTATTGAAGAACTGATCAAGAAGTGGATTGTCACCAACTGCGAAATTTTGTTCTTTGTTTCGCCTGAAGAGACCTTTCCAATTGTGCGGGAGATGCCCGTCCTGTGGCCGATCTTCACTTTGGCCTCTGTCTTCTATTCCGATTTTTACTGCCTGGTGGGCGCGCCGGTTGGAGGCACAACTACCTTGTACTGGATCACGGTTCCTGAAAATGAGCACGTGGCGCATGCTCTGGACCGTTTGGACGTGACTTTGCCAGCGCTGCGTATAATTACCACTGCATCTTTCCCGGTGGCCCGGCAATCACCGACGTACTGGGTACCCTAAAGTCTTAAATTTACTACTATGTAATCGCGCAGTAATATATTTGAAAAAAACCACATATTTATAATTATTGAAAGCTTTTCACGAATAGAATCAGAAATGAAACGCGACATTCGTATCGAACTCACGGGATGAACGAATCAAAAAAAGAAGGTAAAATGAATGAAAAAAAAAACACGGATAACTGGATTTATCGCATAAATCGATAACCGGAGCCGAAAATTTCAACTTGAAACTTTTGAATTTCTAAACCTGAACAAAAATAATTGATTCAGTAACTTTCAACTTTTATTTCATGATGTTCAATAAAAAACTCAAAGCAATTCATTTGGCGAAATTGTCGAATGATGAAACTTGGGACAGTTCTCACTTTAATTCGCTAGAAATTTGAGGAAAGACTTCAGATAATGATAGATTATCACAAAAAGTTTATTTGGCCATGAAAACGGGACAATCGTTTTTTAAATTACGTAGCGTTAGATTCAAGATTTTGCCGAAAAAAAGTTCAAGATTCATTCGAGGCAAATTTTTGAACTTTTATCATTTCTTGACTTTACTCGAATTTGAGTTAGGTTTTGGACCTAAAAATGAAACTTAAGCTTCAGGGCCACTTTTTTTTTATCTTCCGTCGTCTCTTGACTGAAAGGAAAAAAGGCAGAAAAAAAAATAATGAAAATACTAACCTTTATTCAAACAGAGGATTCAAAAACGTCCATTTCGTCCGCCTTTTTCCTTTATTTCGACTCTTTTCACATCAACTCGTTTCTCCGCTTGATTCCTTCAGTTCGTTTGTGGTCGTAACCTGTAAAACTTATCAAAACAAAGCGCTAATCAGAGGAATACTCAACTTTCATCGAAAAATTCTCGAATCGGGCATCGCGATTTGGCATTTATCCTGAAAACGAATCATAGCTCTTTTTAAGCTCTCCATTCGAGCAAGTAATATACTCAGAGATCAGCTGGCTATTATATTTGAAAAGTAATAGCCAAATTTCATAGAGTTTCACCGGCATAGAACCGTTCGGTACTTTTTTATGGCCTTCCAAAGCATACTTCTCTTTAGACACCACAGAAATTGTTCCTTAAATGTTAATTGTATCACCGGACTAGTAAATTAGAAATACCGGATTAATTCCTAACTTAGAACGACGAAAAATAACACATTTTCAAAGAACATTTATCTTTTGACTATTTCTTACCATTAAAGGGCTTGTTTTGAACAAGAATCAAGGCGGAGCAACGCTTCAAAAAGATGAAAATGCAAAATAAATGCAAAAAAATAATACAAAATTAAAAAATTCCAGCTCCTGGGGCCCTACGCGGATTCTGTTAATTTCTACAACACAGCCTGCGCCTTTAATAAATTTTTTTTTAATTGATGCCGTATCCGATGAAATATTTCGAATTCAAATGGCGTGTTCATCGGAGAAACGGAACATGCTTCAAAACAAAAAAACGTGTTCATCGGCGCGCCAAAGTTGCTTCAAAACAGTACTAATTTTTGTTTTGGAGCAATTTTTTTGCGTTTCGAAGCAATTTTCGTTTTGTCCGATGAACACGCCAAAAGGGTTTCCGAGAGATTAAAAAAAAGCGTCAGTTAGTGAAAAAAAAAAAACTAAAGCCGTGTTCAATTTGATTCCGCGAAACGCAAAATGATCTCTGACTCTCCAAAATTTAGTGATCTCTTCCTTTCTCTAACGGGTAATTTGCATTTCGCGTAATCAAATTGAACGCGGCATAAATTTCGGAGCCAGATATTATTTTGCGTTTCGCGGAAATTGCTTAGAAAGTTTTTCTATTTTTTTATATGTTAATTTTTTATTGTTCAAATTTTCGTTGTTTCAGGAAAAAAAGAAGTCCTTCATTTTAGTTCCGTTTAGACGCGTTTTGGTCTCACGTACAATATCAGACTTTATATCTATCCTAATTGATCGCATAAGGTTTTTTTTAAAATTCACAGCATTTTGCATTATAGTCATTTTTCAAATTAATATTCACACTAAGCTTTGTTTAAGGCTGACTTGAGGCAGCTAATGAGTATTCGTAGATTCTTTTCAAAATATCTGATTTTCTCATTATTCTAAGGGTTTTCATAAAAAAAGTGAGCTCGTTTAAAAGATTGAGCGTTGGGATTTGGAAATTAATGGGAATTTATGATTGTCTCATATTGCTACTTTGAATTTTCTGTCACTACTTTTTCTCTATCTTACCTTTTATATAATTTATGTTTTACCTAAAAGTTTTATTTCAGCCATGAAGGACTTTTTTTCGTCATCGGCATACCATTTTTTTCCAGCTGTCGTCGTTCACCTCCAGGTTTATATATTTTTTTCTTTTTTTATAGTTGAAAAATACACCGGGAGTGTCATTTTTGATGGGGGTTGCCGGGTCGCGGCCCACACCCCTCAAACTGCGGCCTACCCACCCAAAAAGTGCGGCCTACTTCAGTAAATTTACAAATTTTTTTCGCGTGCAAAAAAAGCTGGGATTCAGCCGACGTGTGGACACGTGTGAACGGTTAAACGTTATTTTTTAAATGTTTGCACTCCGTAAAAATGAATATTACACTCAAAGTCGGTTTTTTACGGTGTTTAAAAAAACTTAGCACTTTTTGATAAATAGGCTTTTTTTCAGTTTGCAAAAATACTTTAATCTAATAAAAAAATTAAAAATATGAAAAAGTGCAAGATGTAAAAGCTTTGTCGTTTCTCAAATCAAACGTGGCATTCTCGGCTCCGAAAAAAATGAGAGAAATCAGAATCAATTCAGTAAAATAAGGCTAAAGAGGTACCATCCATTCATCCAAAAGAAAGGGAAACTGAAACTACACGGAGGTTTTAGGCACATAAAAAGAATAGGCGAGAATAAATGTATTTAATGAGTTCAAAACATCAATAAAGATTATGGAATTTGTTGCTTGGAAAAAAGCAACGGGGTTCGGATTCAAATGTTCCGTCTTGGTGAAATGAATCAGGCATGTGATAATAATTAAGAGCTCAAGGATTTTTTTCATAAAAAACGATGGTAGGAAGGAATTTTGGGCCCGCGAATACGTGAGCTTGAATTTGGCATACACCGCTGTTAGGGGCTCGAATCTTTGCAAACTTTTATTACTTCTACACTTTTTGTTTGTTTTTTTTATTCAATATTTTTCTCATTTTTTTTTGTAATAACTCTGTGCGTAACACTCCTGTGAACACTCTGTACCGATTTCATCTCGAACCTATATGTATCAAACTTCTGCTTTACATCTATGTTTTGACTCAGGCGCTGCCAATTTGAGGAAGCCTCTTTATTCTGTTGAATTTGCTGGCTCAGGCGCTGTTTAGGGTACTCTCAAATTCAAAGCAACTTTTCCATATGCTTCGTGAAAAATTAAGAGTCAGTGCTTATTCAAAGTGAAAGCCCACCACTCCGAGCTTAAATTCATGAATCCTGATATCAAATTTAGATGTGAAAAAGTCAAAGCAAAATTGCTTTAATGGAAGGTTCAAGGAAAAAGGAGAAAATGAATTTCTACTTCATGGAAGTAGGAGTTGGCTCAGCCGACGAACTTTTTGGAGCCGAGCTTTTAGGAGGAGCACCGCTTTTTGGAGCTGCACCGTTCTTTGACATGACGTTTTGGGCAGCCAGGCTTTTGTGAACAGAAACTCCCTGAAATTTGGCATTTACTTATTTGAGCCCTAATTTTCGAATTTCCCAAGTTCTACGTGTTAACAAAAAAACAAAGTTTAAAACTTTTCGAAATGCCTACAATGTCAATAAGTCGTCTTCAAAGTACTCGATTTATCATCGCTAAACAAAAAAAAAATAGACAAAGTTGGTTTTTGCAATGTTTCTCAAAAGTTCACCTGTTTTTTGATCTTCTCGTCTTCACGTGCCTTAACAGCTTTCGCAGCGTCTTCTGCCTAGAAATGAAAAAAAGTTTGATTCGAATTTTTTCGAAAGACTTTATACCTTCATCTCAAAGATTCCTGGCGATTCGTAGATGTCTTGCAACTCGTATTTTCCGAAGTCATAGTTCTCTCTTATCTTCGACTGCTTTGGAAGATTTGCCTTGCACACCAGTCTGATCTTTTTTTTCTTGCAGTACTTTTCTACTTCAGCTTTGATCATGTCATAATCTTTTTCGTATCCTAAAAAAAACTTCTCAAGTTTCAGTTGTGAAGAATAAATACTGCCGTTCAAAACGATTAAGCGAAATTCAATATAGCCGTAAGAGATTAAAAATGTAATTAACACTTACAAAGTCAGAGAAATTTTTGAATTTTGCGGAATGAACTTCGAACAAGGCATGAAATGAAAGTTGAGATGAAAGTTTTCTACTTCTTGAAAGCATTTTAAACTCATCGAAAAAAACTACTTTTTCATGGAAATGTCTAAAGCTATAATTCAACGCAAAAATGTAAAAAGCTATAGTTCGAACGTTCATCATCACTTTCCAAAAATATGTTCTTCTTCCCACACTCACTTTCCAAACGGAGCATAGCTTTGTTGAACGGCTCTGAATCTATCGGCGACGGCCTCACGTAAACAAGGGCTGAAAGTGTTTTTCTAGCGGTGTTAATTCATCTTCATATTGGGAAATTGATGTCATGTTGAAAATTTCTATATGTCGCCGGATTTCCCGGAATTTTTATATTATCTGCTTAGATTTTACCCTTCAAACTCACATCCTTTATACTCATTGTAGTCGAGGCCCATGTAGTGAAGATCCACAAAACGAATCCATTCGTAAAGCGTCAGGGAATTTTTCAGCTTCTGTGCCTCCGGATCCTCATCAGTGTACAGGTGCTCGAGAACATGAATAAATTCTAGAATTTGGAGCCTTTAGATGCGCCTCTTTCGCGCAAAGCGTGATAAAAATAACTTTCGCAGAATTCAAAATCATTTTTGAATTCCCAAAATTCATTTATGTTTTTCACTCTCTGGCGGCTTTTTTGAGTTTCTCGGAACTTTGAACACGGAATGTGCTTTTAAGAAAAAGTAAACTGAAAGTTCGCGTTTTTTTTTTTGAACGAGAATTGAAAAAAAAATCGTCTCATAAAGCATTGAATATGCCCCTTTAATATTCTGATTACGCTTATTTTCCATGTCGTAGGAACTGCGGAGGTTTTGACTCTACCCCCTTCATTATTTGGTTATCATTTTTTGGAACGTCGTGAATAACAACGAAAAAGGCGAAAATTTAAGAATTCACATTTACCATATATTTTTAGAACTTCAACTTCTCTATAATGGGAACTAACGGAAAAATGACATTACCATGCATGTCCTTGACCGTTCCTCTTTGGTTCTCCGTGGCGTAGGCTTGTTCGTTGTTGATCGAGGTCCGCTCTTTAACTTCGTTCATGACGATCCTGCACAATTGGAACCTGACTTCGTTATAGTCTGAAACTCGCAATTTCTGATTATTCAGGGAGTAAGTAAATATGTCGATCACTTATACTTTTTATATACTATCTAATGTTTCTCTTATGGCAGTGAATAATCTATTATTAAGTAAACTATACACTTTCATGATTTATAAACAATGAAGTTACTCTTGTCAAAACAAACTTTTGGAAATTTTTTCAATTGTTCCAGTAGCTTCAGTCAGCAGACGATCGATAACGCCCAACGAGAGCCCTGAAAATCGCACAATGACAAATAGTTCACCAGAGAAAGTATTAGGGGACGTAAGGACACCCTCGGACATTATTAACGCGAAACGAACGTTCTTCGGAAGTTTCCTGGTATCTCTAGGGATCACTTGAGAATGCTGACGCTATAAAGTGTTCGCTAAAATGTCCTGACACGTCCGATTCGCGTTACAAACATCAACAGGTTTTTATTGGGATATTCCTGTCTCGAGATGGCGCGTTTGAGCAGAAAAAAAAAATCAGAAAAACGTTATTTTCAGTATGACTTGGTTCATACGCGAACGTGAAGAAGGTGCAACTGTTTTTGGCCGACAAAAGCGTTTTATAGTCACCTTTTTTTAAGCTTTTCCGCACAAATACCCTCATATGAAATTTAAAGAATCCCGATAAATGGAGTCCCTAACCGAAAAAAAAAAAACAGGAACTGACAGGCATCGGCGATTTTCTTCTCCTCTTCAGTCTGGGGCTTGGTGTTAATCCACTTGGCTATCGTGTTATCCAAATGCTTGGCAATTTCCGGAATCTTTTCCTTTTTTTTCATGTTTTTCTCCTGCGTCTTCACGCTCAGTTCCAGGTTAAAACCCGCTTTTTGGCGTTTTTCTTTTTTTTCTTCGTCCACATTTCTTTTTTTAGTCTCTCTCTTGACCTCCTTTCCACCTTTTTTCCGTGCCTTGTCTTTTTCCTTCTTCAGAACCTCTTTCGATAATCCATCTTGGTTTGGAACAAGTATTTCGACAGTATCCGTGCATTTACTTCCTTTTTTCGACTCGATGAATTTCGTGACCAAAAGGAAAGTGTTCACGTCTTCGTAAAAGTTAATGTGATTGTCAATATTTACTGTCTTGTGGGCTACATTTTCCATAAGTTTTGTCTTTTCGAGCGTTCCTCCTTGCTCCAAAATATTTCGCCTCCTTCCCACTTCATCAGAAACGTCTTTCATCATGTCAACTGCAAATTTTTTTATCGCTCTATGTCCCTCTATCTCTGAGACTGAAGTTACTGTAACTAACAAAAATTCCTGAAAAATTTGGAATATTTGCTTCAAGTTTCAATTTGCGAATATATTTTTCATCCACTGTTTTCTGTCAAATATCAAAATTGTATGAAAATGAATATGAGGTTGTTTAGGTGAGAATGGAAAAAAAAATTCCGTTCAAATAAAAAAAAAGGGTTTTCGTCAAACACCCCAAAAAGTAGCTAAAAGAGAAGTTACTTGGATTTTCACCTGAGAAAGCAATCTCATACTACGAAAGAAAGATCTCATCTAATTTCTTTGAGGCAGCTAGCGCCTGTGACTGATTATTCTAAACCTGGAAAGTGTTGAGAAAAAGGAAATCAAATAGATTTTCGTTTGTGTAGAATTTCTCTCAAGATCTTATCAAAAAAAGATTTTGTAGTTTCAAGAGGACACGATGAAACCAATTTTCAGCAAGAACGCAATGTTCTGAACATCTAATGAGAATACTAAAGCTGGGCGAAATGGAAATTGAATTTTTAGTAAAAAAGTAAAAAAAAAAAGGAACAACATGAATATAAGAAACTGACACCTCGACCCCATTCGTCCTTCGTTGTCAAGGCAGAACGCCGTCTGTTGCTCATATGCCGTCAAACAGTCGATAGTATCTTTCACTTAACCGATCAAGAATACAAAAAAACGTCCGATACTCGTCTTCATACCAAAGTTTAGATGGTCACTCAGCATGGTGTAGTAGGCATTGTGAACGTACGAAGCCATCAGACTGACTTCAAGTGAGAATTCAAAAGTGAAAATAAATCAGCTCAAACTGACCGCATTGGGCGTATTCTTCAAACTCCTTCTCAAAACCCGTCGAGGGCGGCGCCTTTCTTTTCAGGAACAAGAACATCAGAGCCAGTAGGATGCCAGTTATAACCATCCAACACAGTGATGTGATGGCGATCGCCAAGATAGGCATTCCTTCTTAATTAGAACGATCAGAAATGCGTAAAAGTGTGAGGTTTTTTCTTGTTTTGCAATCAGGAGGTCCTAAAGCAACCTTAACCAAAGTTTCATCAAAAGCTCAACCGGGGGTTTAAAATCGTTCCCTAGTAAGTAGGATGGATACCCGGTCCATGAAAGTGTATTTAAGCAAAGCTATAGAAGGTTATAAAACCCTTTCAGGTCGAAAACGACTTTTTTAAAAACTTATGAACAAAAAAAATCATTATTATTTTCAACTTCTGTATAACGGTATTGAAAGTCACATAGGTACCTACAGACTATTGGGATAAATGTAGTGAGGCACAACTCCGTCTCCCTGCCTGCCTTGAAAGCATAGTTGTCAAAAATTTGGAGATCTCAGTCCCCATAGGTCTTTTCGCCTCCAGGAAAGTATTTGAACAGTTCCAAACACTGATTCTAAATTAAGCGTCTCCAGTAAACATTCAAAAAAAGAACTTCAGTCGTTTAGTTGCCAATTAAAACCAAATTTAGACTCTCTAATTGATTTTTTGGTTCAAAAAAGAAAAGCGAACTATACATCGGTCGGTACACAAGAACACGTCTTCTAAAGATAACTATTTCAAAGAAGTAGCTTCTTACACGTAAATTACCAAGTAATCAAAAATTATGTATTTCATTTTGCCGCTCTATAAGTAAAAACGTCAGTGGGTCATAACTATCGAAACCCTCCCATTTTCGAAGTTTCGATAAGTCTCAAACGAAACTATGAGCTAGATGAAGATGAATTTGAAGGAATTGTAATTTTTTTAATGGTTTTAAACATTCAAGTGTCCTCATTTTTCAGTTACGCATATAGATTCTTATGACGCTTTCATCAGGAAAATGGAACGTTTTCATTCGTTTCGGAATTTCTGAGAAAGATTACAGGTTCATGTGAAATCGTAGAAAAATTCTGAGTTCTTTTTATCAGTATCTTTCGGTTTTTCTTCGACTTACCACTAGCTTTTTCGGCCGATGGAATCGATGGACACTCAGGCACCGGTGGGCAAGACGAACATTGCCCCGAAATCGGCTTAGGAAGTGGTCCGGAGATTTGTGGCGAACTTGGTGCCGAATTTGGTGGCAAATTTGGAGCTTGAGCCGGAGGTGGGGCCTGCGTGGTTGGTTTCGGGCACGATGCCAACAGATCCTGAAAAAAGCGCTGGGTTTTTTTCAGAACTAAAGTTTAACTTTATTAATCTTCAAGCTTTTTAATTTGAAAGTGTAACCTTTTCCAATTTTCTCAACCGATCCCATGGCTTCTTTTTCATGTTGTCGATATCGAGAATAGTTCCTTTCTGACAGTAAGGATCGATCGGGAAGAGGGTTATCTTTGTCAGTTTACTGAACGCATCGTCATTAACTTCAGACTTTCGAATACGGATCAATGGCTCTGAAAATCTCTATTATGCTTCGAAACAGCCATCGAGAAATAGAGAAAAATGACCAAAAAGCATATTGACAGGTTTCATTTGTATATTTCATTTTCAGAGCTACAAACTTTCAAGTACCTTTCATTTGAAGGCTCGCAGAAATTTTCAAAAATAGTGAGATTTAATTTATAAAGCATACTTTCATTACGTCACTTTTTAAATTTGGAAAAAAAATGCGACGATGGCAAATAATAAAAACCTGGGAAGGTTGTGTAGTCGGTTGCGTTGAAATACAAAGACTGCAAGTTTTCGAAACTTGCAATCCCCGGATTGTCTTCCAAGACGAGACGAGCGGCATAAGTTAGAAAGCCCGAAGCGGTAAGAGCGTTACTTGATCCATGGTCCTGTTTTTTGACCATATATTCTCCCTCTATGCAGTTCGAGCACCCGATTTCACCACAGCTATATTTCCCAATACCAACCATAGGCGTAGGGCAACACGCTAAAAAAAAAGTACTGGATGAAAAAGACAAAAAAAAAACAAACATGTTTGAGCGGCTGTTTGGCTGACCAGGAAAATTCCGATCAATAGGAAGATTGTCGTTGCTGAAGTAACTCATGTCGTGAAAATTGAAAGGAAACATTTGAAAGAAGTTAGATTGATAACCTCTAATGAAACCCGATTTAAAGTATAAATTTTTCGCGGAACCATTTCAAACCGTTGCTCAGGACTTAGGCTATTTCTACTTCTCATTGGAGGGTAACTTTGCGATCTATTCTTGAATTTATTCATTTATTTCACTCAAAAAAACAAAAATACAAATCACGGAAAAGACAGTATGAGCCTGATATAAGTTTTGGTTATGGAGAACTTCCAAATCTTCTAGAATTTTACTAAATCCGTCATAAATTAGGCTACTGAAAATGAAAGAAGAAGTTTTATTATAGAGATAGGTGCGCATATCATTCAAGATTTTGCCTTTCTAATCCTTCACCTATGGTCTATGCCCTCCACCTCTGGAATTCAAATTCAAAAACATTTGGATCACTATTCCGTATCATAAACAAGAAAGATTCCAAGAAAGAACGAACCGACAGGGGGAGAGGAAGTCTTGAAGCGAGCCCTCATCGCGTCGATTTGTGTTATGACTGACGCTCTTCCAAATCTCACGTTTGACTTACACGTCGGATTTCTCTTTTTTCATTGTGAACAATTTATTTTTTGATGACATTATTTTTCATCTAGATGATATCTTCACGGCGAATATTTTCTGTCCAACGTGGTTTAAACTTTCAAAATCCTGATTGCATTCTAGCAGTTACGCTTTCTTACTTGGACTGAACATATATAAAGCGATGCCACGACTTTTGAGGCAATTTGTCAACAAAAACTTCTTCCAGATTTTTTTTCGAAACAAATCTCCCACACACAGTTTGAAGAACGGACAACACGCTTCAAAATGATATATAGCATTAGGGCAGAAAAAAAAGTTGCTGAAGTATCGAAAAATAAAGTTCATTCATCGACAACCTAATTGATGTTGTAATATTGGATTTTTCTAAAATAACTTTTCTCCAGTATTTTTTCTACAAAAAGTTCCTGTAACGAAATCTGAACAATTGCTATTAAAAAATATTACTGGCGGGTAAAGGTAGAGACAGAAAAGCCCGCCCTCTTTTCGCGAAGGGAAATGCATCGGTTTTTTAGATTTTGTGTTCATTGTTTTCGTAAAAACGCAATACTAACCAACAACGGAGAAAATTGGGAAGAACATAGAGAAAATCTTCCTCTTTAACCTCATATAATTTTTACCCCATTTTCAAAGCGTTTCGGCGGAGTGTGGTACAAAAAACTCAAACGACTTTTTTGATTCGAACTTTTAACCTAGTTCCAAGTCGAATGCGCTATTTTTTATTTATTCAACATGTTTCTATGTGGACGCGCGCGAAAGCCTCCTATCTTCAAGGGATGTAGGTGGAGCAGCGGATGCGCGCTTGCATACGCTCTGCCAGAATGCCGCACGGTGCCGTCTAGCCTCATGCACTTCGGTGCGTAACTTGGGCGTGCTCCGTGCAACATCGGTGATTTTTTGGTGCCACACGGGTGCATAGGTGTCAAAACAGTGCTTTTAGCGTGCTGCACCAGTGCGGCACCAAAAAATCCCCGATATTGCACGATGCAGGCACAACTCGGCAAGGATGGCGCACGGTGCATTTTGCTTTTTTGCACTCTCGTGCGCAATTGGGGTCTGCACCGTGCGATTTCGGTGATTTTTTGGTGCAAAGGTGTCAAATCAGTGCTTTTAGCGTGCTGCACCAGTGCGACACCAAAAAAGCACTAAAACTGCACGGTGCAGACTCCAGTTTCGCACCAGAGTGCAAAAAAGCAGAATGCACCGTGCCCCATCCGTGCTGAGAAGTTACGCACCGAAGTGCAAAAGGCTAGACCGCACCGTGCGCCATTCTGGCAGAGCGGTTTTGGGATCGCGAGTTCGAGGCCCGCAGTGGTCATTTTTTTTTTGGTTTTGATGAGTAACTTTTTTATCAAATTTTTTTCCTGGATTACATTCGAATGACTTATCATGACTTCTAAAATGAAGGTACAAAGGAATCTTGGGCCCATGAATATTCGTGAGCGTTAATTGTACATACACCAATCTTGGGGGCTCGAATCTTTGAAAACGATTCTTGGCAATATTCACCTCTTTTTTTGATTTTTTTATAATTTTTTTCTAATGTTTTTTTGTAAGCAGAAGTTGATGGATAATGTATACAGAGTGAATGAAAATGTCGTAGACGTTCCGCAGCAAATCTTTGACTACGTGTATGCGAGAAAGACGCATTATTTGATAAACTCAAAGTGCAAAATCCAAACTTTCAGTACTAAATTAAGGGACCGCGAGCCATTTTTTCAAAATGATTTGAACGCTGTGGTTTTTATACTTTCCGATAAGGAAGACTGTCGATTTTCATAACCCGTTTACTTTTGGAAAAAAAGGTCCACTAAGGAAAAAAAAAGCGAACTGCAGGCTCTCACGGTTTACCCGGTGCCGCATGATTTCTTTTGAATTGATTTTGCGCATTTCTGAACCGTTTTCGGATTGGTTTTCTGTTCCAAAAAATTACCAGAACTGATCTCAATGTGAAATAAATCTTTTGTACAATCTTCATAAAAAAATTTATGATAAAAATAATATAAAAACTATTTAGAAAAAAAGGTTAGGAAAAAAATTTTTTTCGCTAATTTTTTTCTCATGAAATGAAAAAGTGAAATAAATACAGTAAGGAGTGAAATTATATGCGGGAAGTCCATGTTGACTTAAAAAGTGGATTTCAAAGGAATATTTTGTTTTATGAAAAGTTTCCAGCTAATGACCTTTCGGCTGGAAGCTTTTTATAAAAACGTCCTCACGCAGGCTGAAAAGATGATTTTGGCCGACAATTGTTATAAAGAAAGGGATTTTTTTCCGCCCAAACGCGCGCTTTTGCTCCAGTGCTTTTGAACGGGTGAAAAACCCCCCGGATCAGCAGGTGCGGAAAACACCTTGTCCAGGAAGGTCTGTGGATGTTTCCTGACTAAATCGACCACGCTGAAGCTGTCTGTCATATTTAGAAATTTCTAGGAAAACTCCCTCCATTTTTTTCAACGGTTTGAAATCTTCCCGGAACTCCCATTTTTCAGCCAATCATTTTTTCATTCTTTCATTATTTTTTCCGTTTTCTACGTACTTTATTTCATCTATAAACGAACTTCAAAAAATTTTGGACAAAAAAACTTCCGGAACATTTTGGAAACTTTTGTTCTGTAGAATCTGACTTAGAAAAAAGCAACGTTTCCTTATGCTTCGTGAAAATGAAAACTAAGATTAAAGCTCCAGCCCAACACTCAACACTTAATGTCGTGAACCCTGATATCTTCATCAAATATAAATGTGGAAAAAAACTAAGCAAAATTGCTTTAATGGAAGGTTCAAGGAAAAAGGAGAAAATGAATTTCTACTTCATGGAAGTAGGAGTTGGCTCAGCCGACGAACTTTTTGGAGCCGAGCTTTTAGGAGGAGCACCGCTTTTCGGAGCTGCACCGTTCTTTGACATGACGTTTTGGGCAGCCAGGCTTTTGTGAACAGAAACTCCCTGAAATTTGGCATTTACTTATTTGAGCCCTAATTTTCGAATTTCCCAAGTTCTACGTGTTAACAAAAAAAAAACAAAGTTTAAAACTTTTCGAAATGCCTACAATGTCAATAAGTCGTCTTCAAAGTACTCGATTTATCATCGCTAAACAAAAAAAAAATAGACAAAGTTAGTTTTTTTTTTTGCAATGTTTCTCAAAAGTTCACCTGTTTTTTGATCTTCTCGTCTTCACGTGCCTTAACAGCTTTCGCAGCGTCTTCTGCCTAGAAATGAAAAAAAAAGGTTTGATTTAATTTTTCAAGACGTTATACCTTCATTTCACAGATTCCTGCCGGTTCGTGCATTAGGTGCAACTGGTATTTTTCGAAGTCATAGTTGTCTCTTATCTTCGACTGCTTTGGAAGATTTGCCTTGCACACCAGTCTGATCTTTTTTTTCTTGCAGTACTTTTCTACTTCAGCTTTGATCATGTCATAATCTTTTTCGTATCCTAAAAAAAACTTCTCAAGTTTCAGTTGTGAAGAATAAATACTGCCGTTCAAAACGATTAAGCGAAATTCAATATAGCCGTAAGAGATTAAAAATGTAATTAACACTTACAAAGTCAGAGAAATTTTTGAATTTTGCGGAATAAACTTCGAACACGGCATAAGATGAAAGTTTTCAACTTCATGAAAGCATTTCAAACTCATTGATTAAAATACTTTTTCATGAAACAGTCCAAAGCTATAATTCAACGCGAACATGTAAGAATTAAGAAAAAATAATAGTTCACACGCTCATCACTTTTCAAAAATATGTTCTTCTTCCCACACTCACTTTCCAAACGAAGCATAGATTCAATGAAAGGCTCTCCATCCATCGGCGACGGCCTCACGTAAACAAGGGCTGAAAGTGTTTTTCTAGCGCTGTCATTTTATCTTATTTATCCTATTATAACTTTCTTGGTTTTTTTCCTCCACGCCAGATCTGTCTGTGAGCGAAATAAACATTATTGTTGGGAAATTCGATGTCATGATGAAAATTTCTATATTTCGCCGGATTTCCGAAAGTTTTTATAATATCTGCTTGGATTTTACCCTTGAAACTAACATCCTTTATACTCATTGTAGTCGAGGCCCATGTAGTGAAGATCCAAAAAGCGAATCCATTCGTAAAGCGTCAGGAAATCTTTCAGCTTCTGTGCCTCCGGATCCTCATCAGTGTACAGGTGCTCGAGAACATGAATAAATTCTAGAATTTGGAGCCTTTAGATCCGCCTCTTTCGCGCATACCGTGATAAAAATAACTTTCGCAGAATTCAAAATCATTTTTGAATTCCCAAAGTTCAGTATTGTTTTTCACTCTCGGGCGGCTAATTTGAGTTTCTCGGAACTTTGAACACGGAATGCGCTTTAAAGAAAAAGTAAACCGAAAATTCGTGTTTTTTTTTGAACGAGAATTAAAAAAAAATCGTCTCATAACGCAATGAATATGCGCCTTTAATATTCTGATTACGCTTATTTCCCATGGCGTAGGAACTGCGGATGTTTTGGCTCAACCCCCTTCATTTTTGGTTTTGCACTCGCTTCCACTAACGAAAACGCCGTGAATAACAACGGCAAAGGCGAAATATTTTTTTCACATCTACCATATATTTTTAGAACTTCAACTACGCTTTAAGGATTATAATGGGAACTAACGGAAAAATGACAAATTACCATGAATGTCCTTGACCGTTCCTCTCCGGTTCTCTGACGCGTAGGCTTGTTCGTTGTTGATCAAAGTCCGCTCTTTGACTACGTTCATGACGATCCTGCACAATTGGAACCTGATTCCGTTATAATCTGAAACTCCCAGAATCTGATTATTAAAAGAGTAAGTAAGCTTCAGGAAATGAAATATATACGACTTCTTTTCTTCTTAAAAAAAGCCTATTACGTACTCTTGGCAATTTTCATGCTATTGTCCGCAAATTCAGTCAGCAAACGGTCGATAACGCCCAACGAGAGCCCTGAAAATTGCACATTAGACAAGTAGTTCACTAGACAAAGTATTAGGAAGCGTGATGATACATTCGGTCCTGCTTAACTCGAACTGAGCGCAAATCGAAAGTGTCGGGGAATTTCTCTGATAACTATTTTAGTAGGCCCTAGAATTCCCCCGACACGACCTGTCCGCGACCGGCTCGCTTTACCAAGCTCCGAGCAGCTACTTATCGGGTTTCGACGATCTCGAAAGAGCGCGTTTGTGCAGAAAAACCTTATTTGTATATGATGATTCTGATGAAATTTTTTAGCATCTGGAAAAAAGAAACTTTGGCCTGGCCCTATTTAGGGACAGTAAGTTTTCTTTTCAGGATTTTTCTCACGCAGGCTAGAAATAATTTTTTTGGCGGACAAAAGCGTTTATACATAAGAAGTGAATTTTCCCGCATAAACGCGCTCTCACGAAATCGAATGAATCGCAATAAATGTTGGCCCTAATCGAAAAACCATCAACTGACAGGCATCGGCTATTTTTTTCTCTTCTTCAGTCTTGGGCTTGGTGTTCATCCACTTGGCAACCGTGTTATCCAAATGTTTGGCGATTTCCGGAATCTTTTCATTTCTTTTTATGTTTTTCTCCTGCGTTTTCACGCTCAGTTCTAGGTTTACACCCGCTTTTTGGCGTTTTTCTTTTTTTTCTTCGTCCACGTAGCCTTTTTTAGTGTCTTTTTTGACTTCCTTTCCACCTTTTTTCCGTGCCTTGTCTTTTTCCTTCTTCAGAACCTCTTTCGATAATCCATCTTGGTTTGGAACAAGTATTTCGACAGTGTCCGTGCATTTAATTCCTTTTTTCGACTCGATGAATTTCGTGAGCAAAAGGAAACCGTCCACTTCATCGTAATAGTTAGTGTTATTATCAATATTTGCTCTCTTGTAGGCTACATTTTCCATAAGTTTTGTCTTTTCGAGCGTTCCTCCTTGGTCCAAAATATGTCGCCTCCTTTCAACTTCATCAAAGATGCCTTCCATCTTGTCGACTGCAATTTTTTTTATCGCTCTATTTTAATCTCTCAGACTAAAATAATTTTAACTAACAATGAAACAGCTGAATAAAAAAATTCGGATTATTTATTTTTTCCGTTCAAATGAGAAAAAAATGTTTTTTTTTGCGTGTAGAAATTCTCTCAAGGTCTAACATTTTGTAGTTTCAAGAGAACTTCGCCAACCAATTTTCAGCAAGAACGCAATGTACTGAACATTTAATGAGAATACTAAGGCTGGGCTGAATGAAAATTGACTTGTTAATAAAAGATTGAAAAAAAAGAAACCAAAAATAATAATAAGAAACTGACGCTTTGACCCCATTCGTCCTTCTTTTTCGAGGCAGAAGCCCGTCTGTTGCTCATATGCCGTCAAACAGTCGATAGTATCTTTCACTTAATCGATCAAGAATACAAAAAAATTCGATACTCGTTTTCATACCGAAGTTTACATGGTCACTCAGCATGCTGTAGTAGGCATTGTGAACGTACGAAGCCATCAGACTGACTTCAAGTGAGAATTCAAAAGTGAAAATAAATCAGCTCAAACTGACCGCATTGGGCGTATTCTTCAAACTCCTTCTCAAAACCCGTCGAGGGCGGCGCCTTTCTTTTCAGGAACAAGAACGTCAGAGCCAGTACGAGACCAAATATCACTATCCAACACAGTGAAGTGATGGCGATTGTCATGATCGGCATTCCTTCTTAATTAGACCGATCAGAAGTGCGTAAAAGTGTGAGGTTTTTTCTTGTTTTGCAATCAGGAGGTCCTAAAGCAACCTTAACCAAAGTTTCATCAAAAGCTCAACCGGGGGTTTAAAATCGTTCCCTAGTAAGTAGGATGGATACCCGGTCCATGAAAGTGTATTTAAGCAAAGCTATAGAAGGTTATAAAACCCTTTCAGGTCGAAAACGACTTTTTTAAAAACTTATGAACAAAAAAAATCATTATTATTTTCAACTTCTGTATAACGGTATTGAAAGTCACATAGGTACCTACAGACTATTGGGATAAATGTAGTGAGGCACAACTCCGTCTCTCTGCCTGCCTTGAAAGCATAGTTGTCAAAAATTTGGAGATCTCAGTCCCCATAGGTCTTTTCGCCTCCAGGAAAGTATTTGAACAGTTCCAAACACTGATTCTAAATTAAGCGTCTCCAGTAAACATTCAAAAAAAGAACTTCAGTCGTTTAGTTGCCAATTAAAACCAAATTTAGACTCTCTAATTGATTTTTTGGTTCAAAAAAGAAAAGCGAACTATACATCGGTCGGTACACAAGAACACGTCTTCTAAAGATAACTATTTCAAAGAAGTAGCTTCTTACACGTAAGTTAAGAAGTATTCAAAATTATGTATTTCCTTTTGCCGCTCTATAAGTAAAACGTCAGTGGGTCATAACTATCGAAACCCTCCCATTTTCGAATTTTCGATAAGTCTCAAACGAAACTATGAGCTAGATGAAGATGAATTTGAAGGAATTGTAATTTTTAATAGTTTTAAACATTCAAGTGTCCTCATTTTTCAGTTACGCATGTAAATTCTTATGACGCATTCATCAGGAAAATGGAACGTTTTCATTTGTTTCGGAATTTCTGAGAAAGATTTCAGGTTCATGTGAAATCGTAGAAATATTCTGAGTTCTTTTTATCAGTATCTTTCGATTTTCCTTCGACTTACCAGTAGCTTTTTCGGCCGATGGAATCGATGGACACTCAGGCACCGGTGGGCAAGACGAACTTTGCGCCGAAATCGGCTTAGGAAGTGGTCCGGAGTTTTGAGGCGAACTTGGTGCCGAATTTGGTGGCAAATTTGGAGCTGTTGCCGGAGGTGGGGCCTGCGTGGTTGGTTTCGGGCACGATGCCAATAAATCCTGAAAAAAGGTTGTTTCAGAACTAAAGTTTAACTTTATTAATCTTCAAGCTTTTAATTTGAAAGTGTAACCTTTTCCAATTTTCTCAACCGATCCCAAGGCTTCTTTTTCATATTGTCGATGTCAAGAATTGTTTTCTTTGTACAATAAGGATCTATCGGAGTGATGGTGATGGTTTTCAGGTTACTGAATGATTCTTCAGAAACTTCTGCATTTCGGACGCGAATCAATGGCTCTGAATATAAGATTAGAAAAGTAGCTATTTCATTCTAAAGTTCCTGATTATATTATATACCCAAAAAGGTCATATCATACATTTTTGGTTTGGAAACTACTTTAATTGAGCTTTTTCGAAATTTTTTTAGCTCTACCACCAAATCTTGATGGTATTCGAGTGTTATTTCGAATCTTTCATCTTGAGAGAGCACCTGGAAAGGAAAGGGAGTCGCTTGCATCGAGAACCAATGACCGCAGTGCTATGAAATTCGCAATTCCCGGATTGTTTTCCAAAACGATACGAGAAGCAGATGCCAAATATGCTGTTGCTCCCAGAGCATTGCCCGAAACGTCACCCTGTTTTTTGACTACAAACTCGCTTCTGGTGCATGCGAGGCAGCTACCATCTACACAACTATTATTACCAGTTCCGAATATTGGCATATCGCAACACGCTGAAAAGGAAAAAAAACGTGAGACGCAAAATAAGGAAAAAACAAACATGTTTGAGCGGTTGTTGGAGTAAGGTTGGTCAGGAGAATTCCGAGAAGTAGAAAGATAGTCTTCACTGAAACAGCTTCGGTCATGAAAATAGGTAAGAAAAAAGTTGTAACGATTTTTGATGGGACCTTATTCAAAACTACAACATTTCATCAGTTCAACGACTTGAGCCGCCTTTTTATTTGAAAATTGCTATGCTTTTAGAATTTCTTATCTAGCTTACTAAGCAGGCTTCTAAACATCCAATACTTTGATCAAATCCCTCCTTCATTAGGACACCAAAAATTATCAATCCTTTCATAATTAATAAGTTTGCCTACTTTTTCATATTCCTTACTAATCTTAAATTTAGTGATAAAAGATAATGTCTCTACATTCTGGAATATGCAGCGGAAAGAAGCCCCCGGACAGATTTTTTTTTTTTAGTCATTCAAAACGACTTTTTTATATTCCTTTTTGGCTGGGCATGAAGATACTGAAGATCTCAACTTAATTGATCATCAGGCTTTTCGATTGAAAATCCTCGAGAAATTGAAATAACCCAGGGGGAAGCCAGTCGAAACTTTTTGTTTCAAAAACTGAGGTTTGGCAAGTTGAGATTTTCCGGAACTTCACTGGGTATATCACATTTTTCTGGCCTTTTCGGTCAAATCCTCTTTTAAATTGAAATGACCTTTCTTGCTGTTTTTTTCCAACTCAAAAGATTCTGGATCCCTATTCCGTATCACAAACAAGGAGCCCAAGAAAGAACGAACCGACAGGAGGAGAGGAAGTCTTGAGGCGAGCCCTCATCGCGTCGATGTTGTGTTATGACTGACGCTCTTCCAAATCTCACGTTTGACTTACACGTCTTGTTTTTGTAATTTCTCATTACGAAACATTTGTTTTTAATGTCATTTTTTTTAAAGATCTCAAACCATAAGATGATATCTTCACGGCAAATTTTTTTTTCTGTCCAAACGTGAAGGATTTTGGAAAAAAAAACCGATCGCAAGTTCAAATTTCCAGAAAAATTTGTAATATCTAAAGCTGTGAGTACGGTAAAAAGGCCAGCAAGCCGAGGTTTTCTACATTTCGTAATGTAACTTTTGAATTCGACATGATGGCTTCAAAAAGAAGAGTTTATTTGAAACGCTCCTAAATAGGGATCTGAGCGGAGGATTTTTGCAAAAATTGAAAATGTATTTCAAGAGATGGTAATGCGAATTTTCAAATTTAATGTGGTAAATTCAGATCAAGAAGACCTTGACAATATCCTAATTGAGAATCGAAAGCTGATGCTGCGAGGAAAAAACATTCTCAACCTAAATCTCTGGAAGTTCTGGAAAATTTGTTAAAGGTAAAAAAAAAACTTGTTACACTCCTGAATTAACAGCAATAGAAAAATTTTCAACATCTTTGAAATGAATATTACGAAACGGTTTATTGAAAAAAGTAATGGGTATTGGATTCAAAAGGTTCCGTTGTGGAAGAAATGAGTGAGGCACATGATAATGATCGAGGGAACCCAATAAGTCAAGCTGATTGAGAAGAACTTTTCGTGGAAGTTCTCCTCATTGTATGCGTAGTACGGGAGACAGATTGTGAGATAGAAGGAAAAGTGACTCGGGAACAGATGAGCGTAGGTCTTCTTCTCTGAAATATCAAGAAGGTCATTTGCTTAAAATTGTTTCGCCAAAAGGTCCACACATGTTTTTCAAGCATCGTGATAAATTCTTAACTCTTCTTCTAAAGTTACCTGGGTTGAGGTTCTTAGGGTTGGAAGCGTAAGGAAGATAGCTGCGCAGGAAAACGGTGTAGAAGAAGCCGACGATCGTGTAGTTGCGCATTTCAATTGAGAAGAGCTTTGGACAATTTTCCGGATCGAAGAGTTTCACGCAGATGAACATGATGGCCGTGTTGGTAATTGAGAAAATGAGGTTTTTTTCGAGGTCGAAGTCCATTTATTTAGCCTGAAAATGGGATCGAATCAATGAGTTATATTAAACTTGGTAGAGTTCGTGATAATTTGCAGAAGTAGAAAATTATGATTTGATTTTGAGCTGAAGCCTCAGAAAATGTGGAAGCAAGGGTATATTAAAAATAGTATGGTTTAGAAATATCGAAGGAACACTTCTGGGTACTAGGGGTTTCTAAAAAGTAGGGGAATTTATAAATTGAAAGTAGGGGAATTTGAAAAAAAGCAAGAGAGAACCTGTAAATTCTTTAAAGAAGCACCTTTCTATCATATATTTTTTTAAAAAAACCATAGGGTATATGAAAAAAGGAAAAACAATAACAAAAAACAGGCGCATAGCTGAAAGAAAAAGGAAAGAATGATCTAGAAAGTGTCTAAAGTCCGAAAAAAAATTTTCTTTGCGAGAATATAAGCAAAACATTAGAATGATTCACAGAAAAGCGATTTTCTGTAAACAATCGAATAAAATTCGTAAAAGATCATAGTGCTTTCTCCTTGAAAAGAAAGGAAGGAGAATGCGATGGGATTCGAATCGTAAAAATATTTTCCCGAAACCAAAGGAAAAAATTGCATTTTTTGTGGGAACGATAGGATGGTTTTGGTCGCTGTGTTGATTCGATCAATTTGAGACTTACCAGCTTCGAATTTTTATTTGGAGGGGGCAGTTTGAAGATAATTATGAAATATGATAATCTGCTCAATTTTGATGATTTTACACCTTTCAAAGAGAAATTGCTCATTCATCAAAGGATGCCTTTTCAAGCTACAAAGAACCAATAAAGCCCAGGATTTTTTTGTGAAAAATTAATTTGACAGTTTGTATGTTATTCCTAAAGCTTTTTCTAGCGGCTATTCTGTCAGGCTGATTTTTGATAGAAAAAGATACTGAAAAACTGAAACTTCTTTTTTTCGACCAAAGAGCACAAAAAAACCTTCTCTAAACGGCTATTTTTTTCCATCCAGGCGTTTTCATTTTGCCATTATGTTGCAATTCATTTTTTTCAATCAATCTTTATTCATTCGAAAAAAATATAACAGGACATGAAAAACTTTAGATAGACAAAAATGTGAAAAAGCCTCAAAAAAATTATTTATAAATTATATTTCGAAAAAAATTCACGATATATCAGCAATTAGAAGAGAAAAAGTACCCACTTATTAAATTTTATGAAATTTGGGGGAGATATGGAGTTCCGAGAGAAAAATCAAATCAAACGGAAATGTAACCAAAAAAAGTATGATTTTTCTTCAAAGATCGACTTCACAAGACTGCTCAATTTGTAAGGGGACGGATCAGAAGCAAAATAATCGATGCGGGGATCCAATATCGGAGGCTCATTGGGAAAAAGTTCCGATGAAAGTCCTCTTCATCGATGGCGTTGTTCTGAAGAAAGATGAGGTAGACCGCAAAGAAGGCTGGGAACAGATGAGGGAAGACCTTCTCGTCTGAAAAAAAAAATCTGAACCTTTATTATCCCTTTAAAGTTTACCTGGATCGATTCCTTTGGAGCCAAGGACGTAGGGAAGGTAGTTGTGCAGGAAAAGTATGAAGAAGAAGCTGAGGATCGTGTAGTTGCGCATCTCAATTGAGAAGAGCCTCGGACAGCTCTCCGGTTTGAGAACTTTCAAGCAGATGAAAATGGTGCTCATGTACATGACCGTCAAGATAGTGCATGTTCCAAGGCTGAAGTCCATTTTTCGGCTGAAACTTTGATTTAAATCAAGGATGGTTACAAATAAAAAGTTGGTGGTGGCTTTGAGAATGATTAAAATTTAAAAATGAGAAAAGAAAGACAAAACTCCAGAGAACCGCATCTGAAAGAAGTGCGTCGTGATTGTGAGGAGAATAAAAGGAAAGAATGATTCGAAAGCGTTCAAAAGTATGGCAATAATGGAATTATCGTAGGCTGTCTGGATGATTCATGACAACGTTTTCGTAAACAATCGGAAAAGATTCGTCAAAGATAAGATTTTTTTTTTCTCTAAAAATAAAGAACAAGTATGACGCATTGAAAAAAAACTGTTCGTATCGTCAAAATCTTTCGGGAAATGTTGGATATTTAGTGGGATAGGTATGATCGGTGCGCGCCGTAGCCAAGCTTGTGCGAGGGGCGGCCCGTCACCCTCCCGGCTTCCCGACCATTTCGTAAGCCCGGCCCGGCCCGGCCTTAGCGGGCCTCAAGAAAAAATGGCCCGCCCGGCCCGAATCGTGCAATTTTTTTCTAGTCGGATATCAAGTTTTTTTACGACAAAAAAATTACGTTTTTTTGCTCATTTTTTTCTATTAAAGTTTAACAAAAAAACTATGATTTCAGAAGTAAAAGTCACATTTCGGTGAAAAATTTTTTTAAATGAAATTTTAAATTTTTTTGAAGCCCGGCCCGGCCCGAGCCCACGCGGGCTTTTTTTCCTGAAAAATAAGGCCCAGAGCCCGGGCCGGGCCGCCCGGCCTGACGCACAAGCTTGGCCGTAGCGCAACAGGTTGTGTGCTTGTCTACGGTCCACAGGGTCACAAGTTCGATTCCCGGCTCGACCCAATAAATATTCATAATTTATTACGATCTCGTAAACATGAGTGGTTTCTTCTGAAAGAGTAGAAAAAAAAAATCTATCGATTGGTACTTTTTTTGAGCTCATGAAAATTAGCTTCATCTGAAAAATAATTTTCGAGTCGTGATCCCCCTGACAAATCATGAAAGCGACGGAGCAGTTTCTTTCAAATTTGTTTTCTTGGTGACTGGAAACTCACTGAAAGGTTGAAATTTTTTTTTTAATTATCAGAGATTTAGGAGTTAATTTCAGTTCCGATCTGAAAATGCATCATCATATCGACATAATAGTCAAAAAAGCATTCGTATAATCAATAATCTTTTCCGTTGCTTCACTTTTTCCGTTAAGAACTTTATGAACTGTTATAAAGCCAAAATTCTACCAATTTTAGAGTATGGATCGAAGCCATTCTCTCCACTGACCCAATCTGACTTAAACAGGCTAGAATCGGTTCAAAGAAAATTCACCAAACGGCTTCTCCCAAAAGAAGCTTATGTTGTAAGATTAAAATCCCTTTCTCTAGACACTCTATGGACAAGGCGACTGCGAAAAGATGTCATAATTACACATCAGTTCATATATTGTTATTATTGGTGTCCATCTCCATTCAAATTACAAACGATATCAAATAGACGGAACCAACTGAGAGGCAACGGCCTTAAACTCGAACCACCACCAATCCATCATGTTCACTATAACTTTATTCCGCAACGCGTGTATAAATACTGGAACGGCTTAAACAGAGTTATGGTTTTTGTGGATGACCAAAGAAGATTTAAAAGTTGTTTGAAAAATTGGTTTTTGATAAGGAAGCTGCAAATATCACAAAATGATTTAACTCATTTAATAGTTTTCCTGTCAATTTTCTTACTCTTTCTGTAAGTCAAACCTTTTAATTTAAGAAGTAACTTTATTCATTTCACACAAAATAATCAAGAAAACTTAGAAAAAAATGAAACATCAGAGTAAGAAGGAATACAATTAAACAAGGAAAAAGCTGTAAAAAAAATTGGCGATAAGTGGAAAGCTTGTTCAAATGAATCTGTCAATCCAAATCGAACCATTCTCGGCTTGGAAAAGGAAAATCCAAACGCAAAATTACAATGTGAAGTATGAGAAAATACATGTTACATTCAAATCACATTGGTATCCGTTTTTTGGTTTTGCTGCCTTTCCAGGAACTCCCAGTTTGCCACGGAGAACCAGAAAATGACGGAAATTACCAAGAATTTCCGGGGGAAGCAGAGAACAAGACCAAGGTAGACCAAAATGTAGGGCATCAAGAATATGATCGTCTCCTCTAGAAAAAAAAAATCATTTTATCGGGGTTTCAACGCTTGGAGTGTTGTGGTGGGATGATTGATTTTTTTTTTGGGGCTTGATGGAAAAAAATTCTCCTTCGTGTATCAGAGGAAGAAAAAGGTGAACTTGCAAAATTTCTCAGTTTTTATGAAAGAAGGGCTTCAAGTCTGTAAAAGGTTGTTCTTAGGAACTCCAGAAAGGTCCCTATAGAGGCAACCATAGGGCCCTTGGATGGTCCGTTTTAGGGACCAAAGAAAGACCTGAAAGACCCCTGTAGGGTCCACTTGAGATTTAGCGGCTAAGGGATCAGATCCTGGACCCCTTTAAAGACTACCCTAATTTTTAACCCTATAGGGACCATTTTTTCGGCCCTTATAGGGGTTGTTTCCCTCCCTAACTCCCAGAGGGACCACTCTGGAATTTTTTAGGAACTTTAGTACCGCTTAAATTTCCCGAAAATTCCCAACAATGCACGTTAGCCGTTTTTTTTTTTCGAAATAAGTTCGAGATCCTGATTAAATAAGTCCAAACTTTCACCTGGACCAGCTGCCTGCATAGCTTTGAAAGCTACGTACAGGTTGGGCGCCGTGAAGTTGGTTGCAATGGAAAAGAGGAATAGTCGGCTCGCCAGGATGTACACTTTGAGTGAGAAGAACTCCGGATAAACCTCAGGTTTAAAGACTCTGGTGCACGAAAAAATCAAGAACGTCCCGTAGACTGCGTCGACAAAGTATCTTCCAGTCTCAAACTCCATTTTTCAGCCTGAAATGATGGATTGAAATATATTTGGAAAGGGATGATATTTCTTGATTATGGTTGATTTTTAGAAACTTCATTTTTATTGATAGTCTTAAAGTGATCTTAAATTTTAAGTGAAGGGGGTCAGAAAAAAAAGATAAAGTATGGAAAACGCTCTAAGGCGCATTACGGACATATGATAACAAGAAGAAGCTGAAACACGCTCTGAGGCGGGCTAATGGTAGATATATATTTATATATATATACTCCGAGGGCTCGAAAAAAAAAGAAAAAAAAAGAATGGTACCACGCAAACAATGTGAATAGAAAGAAAGATCTGATAGTTTCAGAAACAGGAAAAAAAAATTAAATTATCGAAAAACGTGGGAAAAAATTAGAAAGACTCACAGAAACGTGATTTTTCTGTAAACAATCGGCTGAGATTCCTAAAAGGCCAAAGTCTTTTTTCCTCCAAGGAAAAAAAAACTCGATGGGAAAGACTATTCGCATCGTATAACATTTAAAAAAGCCAAGAGAAAATTGAATTTTTGGTGAGAACGCAGGAATGGTCCCATTTTCCGTTTTTTTCCAGATTTCTGGAATTTTCGAAAATATTGATTTCTTGGACCAATATTGATAGGATTTCGTATCTTTTGAGAACTCTTGACAGCGTTTTTTTGCTCATTGAGCTATAAAATAACACTGTGAAGAATAATTCGTGAAAAAAATAATGACTAATTTCGTTTTGGAATTTCAAACTTGGAGGCGAGGGTTGGCCCGTCCGGCCGTCCTCAAGCAAAGATGGCCGGCCCGACCCAAAAAGCTCAAAGTTTCTTCAAGCTCTTTTTTTTTAACGATAAAAGTCATGTTTTTGCTTATTTTTCACATATAGCTTAATAGCTACTTTGATTCAACATGTAAAAATAACTTTCCGGTGAAAATTTTCGCTTCATTTCGCAAGTATTTTCACAAAAATAAGGCCCCGAGCCGGACAAGCCTGATTTTCTGGACTGTGATATTTCACGATTCTTAAAGAAAATTAGAGCGCAAACGCGTCCATTTGAGTGGCTATTTCTTAAGGTATTTTCACTTTGCGTTTCTGAATTTTTTTAAAAATTAATCACAACACTTTTTGATATACCAGGTAAAAATCCTGAAAGTCTCCACCTGAAAAAATATATAATTTTTGAAAAGGAACACCCCGAAATCAATTCTCAAAAATTGTTAAAATCAGGCCCTTGGAGACTGCGTTTCTCGAAAACTATAAATTTGTAAAGCTCGATACTCCCAGAGTCTTCTTTTCGTATAACAAGAAGTGTTCTGGCCGATTTTCTGAAGACTCCCAACCACAGAGTATAATGCCTATGCAGAGAAAACGTTAAAGCTAAAAACTCAGTGCTCGGTAACGCAAACCGGACGTTTCTGAGCATTTCCATTGACCATTTCGTGATGTCAGCGTTCTTAAGTGACCCTTAGAAACGTCCGGGTCGCGTAAAAACGTTTTGATCAACCATAGAGCGCAGATCTCCAACTTTCAGCGGCTATTTTCAGCCAACTTTCTGATTTTTTTTTCTGTTGGGAAACTTGCTCAATATGTGAAGAGCTTTATTCGTTTTGAGATTAAATGGAAAAATATTAAAATAAAAAAATAAAAAAACAAATTTATTGCATCAAAAAGAACAAAAAGTTTTACACAAAAATTTGTAGTGGAAGGAAACAGAAACTAGAAGTTTACGGGGTCCAAAAAAAACCTGGAAAAAAAACGTTTGGCGCGATTTACGTTTTTTTTTCGAGTTCATTTCTTTCAGCGTCGTCTTGAAGGGGACGTCTTCTTCGATTCTTCTGATGTCGCTTTTCGGAAAAGAAGGGACCCGAATCGTGGCAAGTTGCTTTTCATTCCTGAATAATGTGAAATGATTCAGAAAAAGTTTGAATAATGATGAGAATTGAAGCAATTTTTCTGACTAGGAATACTATGAAAAATGCTTCAAGCATGTGTCAAAATTTAATTTCGGCATTACTTCACTGAACATTCTCCATTTGTTGAAGAAGACTGAAAAAAAACCTTTTTATTGAGAATAAAAGCTTTTTGAGGGTTACGGTAGCGCCGAATTCCGTAAGACCAGCGACGCAAACTCTGAAAATTCGGATTTATCATCAAAATTTAATTTTCTTCTCTTTTTTTCTTTTTTCTTTTCTTTGTTATCCATTGAAGTTTGACTTCATTTCATATTTTCAGTCGTGGTGTGAATGTTCAAAAATGAGCCTCTCTATTTTTCATACTGATAATGATAGAAACGGTAAGTTTTGAAGCCTTTTTACCTGAATTCTCTCGAATTTTCAGTTTTCATCCACCGTTCTTCATTTTTGGATGTTCTCCTTCAGCCATGTGGGGGAATTTGATGTGAGTTTTGATCCATATGAATTTATTTCCAATTCTTAAAAAAATGACTTCAAGGATCTGAAGCCAGTTAAATCCTGCTTTAAAATAGAGAATATAACTCCTTTATTTAAGGGTAAAACCTTGGAAAAAAAGAAAAATTGTTTGATTTGAGGTCAGAAAAATTGCTCATAGGGATACCGAATTATATGCTCGGCGTGGTTTGAGTTTTTTTTTTTTGCTTTTCGGGCTGTTCTTCTGATAAATTTCTGTGTCTAAAAAAGACCTTAGACTTATAAAAGATTTTGTGATTGATAAATATTGTATCTTTGAAGTATTTTTTGCCTTGAAATTCATTTACTTTCTTTTTATTGTTCTTTGAAGTTTTTTTCACTTTTTTTATTCTTAAAAAGTAAATAGCTAGCATGGTTGGACCAGTTTTTTTATATGTTTGAGAGGAATAATTTAAATGGTGCAATGATAGAAATCTATCTGAAGAAAAGTATGAACATTTGTCTAGAAGGGGCTAGTTCTGACGATATTATGCGTTTGGTGTGGTTGAAGAAACAAAATTCGATTTTTTGGAGGTTATAAAAGTTTTAAGAGGTTGATAGGAGTTGAGAAAAAGTTATTGGAATTTTTAGTGTTGTGCAAGATGAAGAATTCCAAAAACTATGCCGTGAGGTTATTGCAGATAAGAAATGAGAGGAAATTATGAAAACTGAGCCTTGGAAAAAATTTATGACAAAAAGGAATTACTTGCAAATGCACCTAGGTCTTCAAGATCGGGTGCGGATTTGAATTCACAGTTTTGATTTTCATTTTTGAGGGTTTCTAGAAGTTTTTATACTATAGAAGGGGTTCATCTTTCTAGGGCCTGAGACTCAAAAAGAAGTTACGAATTTTGAAAAATGAAGGTGAAATATGTTGTTCAATCAAGACTAGTAGGGAATCGAAAAAATCGTATCATAGTGGAAATTTTAGCCCTTGTGCAAGTTTCAAACGAAAGGGTTGAAAGAAAAATGAATAGGGGAGTAGAACCTTAAGAATTTCATTTTTGAAATATACTCCGAGGCAATGAAATATTTAGAAGTACCGACAGTTATGGTTGGCTTCATTTTATTTTATTTTTTTCTGCACATTTCAAGCCAGTCGCGCACCAAAAAAGTGATAAGAAATGATTATTTAGAACCTGGGGTATATGAGTTGCGAGAAATTAATAAAGAAATGGGTTTATTGATATATATCTACTTTGCTCAATTCATATTTACTGTGTAGGATGTGGTGAAGTGTTTCTATACGCTCTCGTGGAAATCATCCTGTTCTGACATGGATGAGGTCTTTCCCCATTTTCCCGACGATTCTCGATATGATCTAAGCTAAACGTCCTTGCACTCCAATGGCTCCGCACGTCTCATCGTCCCTTGTCTATTGTTCGTTCTAACTCGCGGCACGATTTGAAGATTTTGTTAATGTCGTCTTGAATGAATGTTAGGTGTTAGGTGGACCTTGCCGGCTTGATATGATCATCGTTTTTGGGCGGTGTGAGCGTACAGACGTGAAGTCGGTCTTGGACTCAGTTCTATTCAAGTTGTTCGTTTTGTAGTCACATCCTCAGAATTTTTGCGTCATGGTCTGCGAGGGATATAGATAACCATTACAGGTGGTAGAAAAATAGTCATAGGTCATAGTTATTGTAAATATTTTTCTGATTGTTTTTTAAATACTCGCGCAACTTCTTCATGACGAAAAAGAACCAAGGAAACGTTTCCGAGGTGGTCAGAGAAATAAAAAGGTTTGAGCTTTGTTGCAGTACTCTGAGAACGCTAAAAAGTAGGATGAAAAAAGAATTTGAGGCCTCGGGATGTTTTTTTGTGCAACATGAGACAAAAAACTTGCGCCGAGGTATTAAGGAAAAAAAAAGGTTAGAGCTCTATTGCAATGCTCTGAGGATATATATACTAATGACATTAAAAAGCTGTCTGAAAAGGAAATTTGAGGCCTCGGGATGTTTCATGTGAAAAAAAGATACATAAAACTTGCGCCGAGGGTCTTACCAACATATATGGCTGGCCTGATTTAGAATGATTTTTTTTTAAATTTATTCTTTTATCTATAGTTTCTTAATTTTACAACTTATAAATGTCTCGGAATTTCAGTTAATTTCATTAAATTTTTGAACCAACAGATTTCTTAAATTCTGAACATATGAGGTCCTGTCCGCACCAAAAAGTCTTTGAATAACAGATTTGAAATAAATGAGGTTTTTTGTAGTTTTTTCTCTAATGCTCCAAGCTCTTTGCTTTTTTCATACGGGCCTTTTTGCAATTGCAGTGGATTTTAATTTTATCGAGTACCTCGGGAATAATTAAATGGTCTGAACTCTTCTTTTTCGTGGTCAAAATGCTCCGACGCAAAAAAGAAATGTCCGGTTGTCCAAAATTCTTTCTTTCACGTTTTGAAAGCCTAGGGGTTTGAAAAGGATAAGTTGAATTTTTTTACTCTAAAAAAATAAATAATTACTTTCTTATATTTTTTTAAATGAAGACCTCGCGTTTGGAAGCGGCTGGGTTTTTAATATTTCTGTTTAGTTTGATCATAAAAAAATTTTTTTTAACTCCGCGCACATCAATTCCTCACCGCACCATCAAAAATTTATTCGAAAAAAATCTTTTTCAAAAATTGTGAGCTTCTGAGAACTTCACTTTGAGAAATGTATTTTCTGAAGACCAAGAAATAGTAAAAGTGGAGACCTAGGGAAAATCACTTCTGATTTTGGCTCCTAGGCAGTTAGCAAAAAGGGAAAAAAGATCTTCTAGTTTAGAACTAACACGTGACATTTTTCTGGAATCGAAAACTGTACGAAAGTTCTAGATTGATCGAAAAAAGGAGATTCAAAGGCCTAGTGCAAATCATTTCTGAAATGCCCCTAGGAAAAAAAAGAAGGAAAAAAATCCGAGAAATGTGCTCGGTTACAGTTAAACGAAAAGAAGAAACTTCTGAAAAGATGAAAAATCCGAAGCAAGGGTGCTCTAATGAAAATAAGTTTCTACCTTACACCAAACTACTTCAAAATATCAAAAGAAGCCGGAAAAATAGAAGAAAGGATTGAAAGAATATATAAAAATCTACTGGGAGGGATTTCGATACAAGCCCACAAAAGAGTAAATATATAAAGGATGAACGGGAATTTCCAAAAATTGAAAAAGATTGTTTCAGTGTGATCAAGAGATCAAGAGGCTGTGGCACAAAAATCTATGATAAAAAAAAGTTAAGAAAATTTATAAAAAAGCCTCGTGCAATAATATTGCTCTCTTCATTGAGAAGAGCCAGCTGATCAGCTTTCCGAGGTTAAAAAGAAAAAAATAAAATAAAAATAACGAAAAACATATATCAAAAAAAGATGACTTTGAAGAAAGGTAAAATGAAGAAAAATTATGAAGGATAAAAAAAGGAGTCAATAAAAAAATCAATAAAGTCGGAAATTTTGAAAAAAATCTCCCGGATCATTTTCTGGAAAAAGAAAAACCAGCGTTTGATGCATTCAAAACGGCCTTCTATCCTTAATAATGAGGGGAAGTTTGTTTCTTGAAGGTATTGTGAGATTTTCAGAAAAGGTATTTCAATCAAAAAATTACGTTCGACTTTAAAATCAGGTTTGAAGCAAGGAGGGAAAAAAATTGAAACAAATCTTAAATTTTCAATTATCGACATCTCAAGTTAGAAATTTATAAACGGAAATAAGACGACCTAAATTGGACTCTTTTTCATGAAAAAGGTGGATCGTTAAAGATGAAAATAATTTGGTAGGTAAAAAGGTGCAAGAAATGGAAAAGGAACGGAGAAATGAGCCGTCGTTCGGATGATACCAGTAGGTGGAGCTTATTTGGGGGCGGAGCCTCGAGGCAGCGGCTTCTTGTGCTCTTTTCCTAGAGGGCAATCTTGTGGGCCGGGGTCAGTGTAATACTGCGGTATCAATGGAAGTTTGAAATTGGGCATCAAATAAGGATAGAAGGAGTACTAATGGACAGCAATCACGCATTTTCGTTCAAAAGTGACTTTTAGAGGGGACAAAAATAGGGACAAAAAAGCGTTATGAAAAAAAAAAAATTCAAGCTGACACTTCCGAATATTTTCAAAAATGAAAGTAAATTGATCCAGAGCTAATTTTATCAAAAAATTGGGGAAATTAGAAAAGCGAGTGGACATAAGAAATATGTTTACAAAATGTTGAAGTTAAAAGATTTTTTTCTTTTTTTCAAGAAGGCTATCACTATGAAAAATTACAATGTGATTTCCCCTATTAGACACAAAAATTAGCCATTCCGCATCAAATTTTTGTTAGGATTTTTCTTCTTTGATCATTTTAAAAACCATCTTTTCGTTCATAATAAAAAATCTTGAGAGTCCAGTAGAAGTAAAAAAAAAATATTTTCTTAGCGGGTTCCTGATTTATTTTCTCCGCGCCGTGAAAATTCAACTTTGAAGCCGAGCATTCTTTTCTTTAACATGGGGATAATATTCTTTTTTTCATCCAAATTATAACCGGGTAGTTCAGGAAAAGTACGAAAATGTGTTTTTCGGATGGGCTCCAATTGTAAGGAACACCTGACCCTGGTGTCTGTTTTTTTCTTTGATAACGAAAAATCGCTAGAGCTTCTGTCGATTGGCGGCAAAAAAGTCGGGAGAAGTCTGTTGCGTGATTTATTGTCGGCTCAAAAGCTTCTTTGGAACAAGATCGAGAGAAGATAAGAAAAACCTTCCTGATTTTAGGAAAAGGGAGAGAAGGGCAGAATTTAGTCTTTTCATGAGAAAAAAAAAGAACGAAAATGAATTTATGAAGCAGCTTTTTTTTTTCTTAATTTGTTGAATAAAGTAAGCTAACAAGGTCGACAAAAAAGTACGCAAATCTGTTATTAGAAGGTTAATGAATTTTCTTTTATTACACTGTTAATCTTCTTTCTGTTAAAACACTGGCCCAGGAAAAGTACGAAATTTTTTTTAGGGGTTGCAATTGTAAGGAACACATGACCCTGGCGTCTGTTTTTTTCCTTGATAAGTTTTCCGGTCGAAAAATCTCTAGAGCTTCTTTCGATTGGCAGAAAAAAACTTTGGGAGAAGTCTGTTCCGTGATTCATTGTCGGCTCAAAAGCTTCTTTGGAACAAGATCGAGAGAAGATAAGAAAAACCTCCTCGATTTCAGGAAAAGGGAGAGAAGGGGAGAGTTTAGTCTTTTCATGAGAAAATAAGAACGAAAATGAGTTTATGAAGCAGCTTTTTTTTCTTAATTTGTTGAATAAAGTAAGCTAACAAGGTCGACAAAAAAGTACGCAAATCTGTTATTAGAAGGTTAATGAATTTTTCTTTTATTACACTGGAAATATTCTTTCTGTTAAAACACTGGCCCAGGAAAAGTACGAAAATATTTCTTTTAGAGGGTCGCAATTTTAAGAAACACATGACCCTGGCGTCTGTTTTTTTCCTTGATAAGTTTTCCGGCTGAAAAATCTCTAGAGCTTCTCTCGATTGGCAGAAAAAGCTTGGGGAGAAGTCTGTTCCGTGATTTATTATCGGCTCGAAAGTTCCTCTGGGACTGAAAGACCACAAAAACGCCTTGGATGTTATGAAACAAGTGCGGAAAGGAGAACATTTAGTATCTTTCACGAGAAAAAATTTTCTGATGGGATTTCATCAGTTAATTATGATTACCCTCGTCTAAGTGGGGCCAATTGAAGCTGAACATAAATTTCAGCGTCTTTGATTTTTTAAAACTTCAAAAATTTATTTTTTTTAATGATTCAATAGCGTAAAAATTACAAATATGTTAAAAGCCTCGAGAATCATATCAATAACCAAAAACAAGGGAAAATTTTCATTTGCTGGCCCAATATAGCGATAAAGTTTTCCGAAGGACGTTCAGAATGTGTGCTTCACGTTGGAGCAAAAAAAAAACGGAGGCACTTTAAAGACCATAAAAAATGACTTTTTTGATAAGGTGATAATAAAAATGATAATGATTGGATGAGAAACGTAAGGTTTTGGCCAAAAGAATGATAAATTGTGGAATTTTGGAGTAAGAATTGAAAATATGGTCTAAATATGATACTTGAAGGACTTGAAGTATGGCAAAAAGCCTCTGTTAAAAATGGCAGAAGTTTTTTTTCTTTTGGAAATCAATCTTGGGCCCTGACGCATGTCTTTTGGAAATCAATCTTGGGCCCTGACGCATGTCTCCGATGGTTTCACCGAAATGTATACTCGGTTTAGTTTGATTTATATTTTTTATTTTGATATCACGCATTTCTCGAAGCAGCTTTTTAATTATCATTTTTCAGAGAATAGTATTTTTCAATTCGGAACGGACAATCTTTACATTAGTTAGAGCAAATGATCTTTTCCAGGCAGATTTTGATGCGAATAGAAGGCTTGAGAATCAAATAGGTTCATTCATAAGAAGTTCAAGGTTATAAAAAACGCGCAAGGCCTTGTGAATTATCTCTATTAATAGCAGAGCGAATGGTGGATATAGATGAAAAAAGACAGAAGAATTGAGGCGGGTTCATTAAATCTAATGATTTTGAAAAGTTTTGATAAAGCCGGACTGTTGCGGCATTGTATTTTGGCCAGGAATTTATAAGGGATAATTATTTCTCACTCACAGACGGAATATTTAAAAGCGGAGGTCTCCCGTTGAGTTTTGTTTTTTGTCCCAACTGCTCTTCCTCGATCTTCGAAGTGGTCGCTAGCTTCTGCCCACAGTTTTATTAGTTTTGAAGCTTTTTCCGCATGAGTTCCTTACTTGCTGGTCGATGAAGGCTTTTTCAAGAGTAGGGGCCTTCGGCGAACACAAAAAATGAACGCTTGAAGAGGTTGTGAAATATAGGCTTGTAGTTTCCTTTCTGCGTGACACGTCACTGTCGTCCGAGCTCCCTTTTGACATCGGTAATAATCTTCTTCATTGGAAAAGGGTTTAGGTAGGATTTTGAGAAAAGGTACAAGAAAGAATAGTGTTTGATTCTAGTGTAGTGAATGAGTTGGTTGGAAAGTTGGAGTCAAATGAATTCTTACGGGTTCTGATAAGCGACGTTCCTGGAGTTGTCGTCTGATGCAGTCGATGTCTCTGTCTAGGTTCTTCATGTCGTCAGGGATCAGGCATAAACAGGCGTTGGAGTTTGGCAGTCGTTGATATCTTCCGAAACGCCCGAAGCAGTAGCGGTAATGATGTCGGTCGAGGGAACTTTGCCTTAAAGTTCGGCATTCTCGGTATCTTCCTATGACTTCCGGCTCTTTCCTGTAGCGGACTCAGAGCATCCGTCCGAGTTGTGGTAGTCCATTAGGAAGCAGAAGAAACAAGTAACCCTTCGGCAGGTCCGTGGAAATTTCCCAATGTCCCAGATGGTTATATGTCGGAAGAGCTCGCGCTCGTTCTCCAACTCTTTCAAATGGAAAAGAATCTCGGAGCAGTAGCGGCAATGACGTTGGTCGAGGTAACTGTTGCCGTGTTGTCGAACACAAGTTCGGCATGCTCGGCATCTTCCTATGACTTCCGTGCGGCTTTCTCCTGTTGCGTACACCGAGCATCCGTCCGAGTTGTGGTAGTCCATTAGGAAGCAGAAGAAACAAGTAAACCTTCGGCCGGTCCGGCGATACTTCTCAATTTCCCAGATAGGTACATGTCGGAAGAGCTCGCGCTCGTTCTCCAACCCTTTCAAATAGAAAAAGAATTTTGAGGATAGGAAAGTGAAAAATGGTTTGGGAGGCGGACGACGTGGTCGACTGGACAAGTGAATGGTTTTTATAGATTCTTCCATCGGGGCACGTCATCCGCTGAGTGGAGGAGGCGGCTACCTTTGAGTCGGTTTCGACAGAAGTAATTAAAAGTATTCGATAAGTTCTGATGAAGTCATGTCGCTCTGAGATTAGACGTTGTTCTTTAGGTGATCAAACTTGTTCAGAATCTCTGGGGCCTACTGTTTGCTGTCCATCTGTACTAGAATCAATTTTTGTCATTATCTAAAGTTCCCAATCATTTTCATAATTTTTATATAATTTCCGAAGAAAATTCAATAGTTTGCGTGGTAAAAATTTTCAAGTTCTCGTGTGAATTTTGGAAGAAATTCAATCCCCGAGGATTTTTTTCAAAAAAGAGAAAAAAAGTTTTGTATGGTGATAAATTTGAAGTTTTTCGTGTTCATTTCTACAGAAATAAAGCACCGAATAAAGGAAAAAAGCTGTCCGAGAAGTATGCTCGGCAAGATTTGAAATTTTTTTTTGGCTCGAGTCCCATGTATTCATATGTTTTTCACGTTTTATTACAGAAAGTAGGTTTGCCTGATTCGGCTTTATTTAGTTAGTTTTTCAAGATAGATTTTTCTTACGAACGATACGAGTGATTTTAAATAACTAAGCTGGTTTTTTTGTCGAAACACTTGAGATGTGTAAGTCCACGAACTTCAAAGAAATTAGATAATATTGTTGAAGATTCTTTCAGTCACAAAGGTTGAAGCAATATGGGCCAATAGAATAACTCTCTTTTCAAGGCGAAGAACCCCATCTTCATTATTTCGGGCGTGCGACAGTTGGCTTACTGGTGCTCAATGGAGTTACAGTACTTGCCGGGCACTGTAACATAACGCTATCCACAGTTCTGATGGCACTGCAGACATTTTTCACACGTTCGACCCGTTCCATCGTTTCTTTCGTGACTATACACTCGTCTGGGTCGTGCGAATAAACATAGTTTTCGTACCGGCGTTGATGAACGTTGTCGTCGTAGCTGTTGTCGATGTGACTGGTCTGGCCGTTGGATTTGCTCCAGGATGAAGCCGTTAAGGCAGTTGTTCATGAATTGTAATTGTCACAGTGATTTTGGCGTCAGATGAGGTTGTAGATCGTCCTAGAAGTTCAGAAGAGAGAGAAGAGAGCCGTGGTTGCCATGTTTTAGATTTTAACTCTCAATAGTTTATTCATAAAGCGGGTTTCAACAACAGAAAGATGAGTAGCATATTATTCTGAATTAGATGCAATACATATTTTCAAATTTGTCACATGCTTTATATCAATACAGGTGTGAATATTGAAAGCCTCGTGAGTAATCTTGAAGAAAACGTGCTCCGAGGAGAAGAAACTGACAAAAGACAGAATTTTAAAAAAATTTAGACCTTGTGCAAATGCCAAAAAGACGGAAAACATGCTCCAAGGTACCGAGATCTATGATCGGCTTGAGTTGATCTTTAATAAGTTCTCATTTCGCATTTGTCCGATAGTCGCTGTATGAAAGCTAACAACATTTTTTTCGGTATCTTTTCCTGAAAGTTCGAAGGATAGTGAGAGATCACGGCTTGTGAATAGGGCTTTGATCCCCCTTTTCTTCTTGTTGATTCCGATGCACCATAAGCTAGCCATGAGAAGAAGGAAATGATTCATTCAAAAAGGGAGAAATCAAGGCAAAATGAATATTAAGTCAAAATGAAGGAGATGGCAAGATGGGTTTTCGGAGCCGCTGCCGCTCCCCGGTCTTGTCCTGCCGTTGGCGTGACCCGCTTTTATAGTTGTAGACGGTGGCCCTGAAAGCTTCAAACTAATAATTGACCTTCGAAAGGGCTAGGGCTTGTAGAGATTGTTAGATCTTAGAGCTTTTTTTAATTTTTTTCATGATTTTAGTGAATTTAAAAAAATTTTTTTAGGGTGGGAGATCATTCTGAAAAAAACTAAAAAAAGTGATAAACTGGTAATCAGAAAAAAAGATAAGTTGGGATCTTGTGCAAAGTCTTGTAAAAGATAATGCGCCAAGGTTGAAAAAAAGTTTATAAACGTCTTTTAAATTTTTTTAAATTAATAATAAAGCTGTTCTTTTTCTATTTTTTTCGCCTGAAGAAAAAGATAAGAAAAAAATTAGTTTTTTTAATACTTTAAGGTCAGAGTATATTGAATTTTTTTGAGAATAGCGTTTCATTTACCTTTCCTAGAAGTAGAAAGAAAAAAATAGGATAATAGTTCCTTCGTTTTCGGAAAACTTGATAATCCTGAAAAAAAAATGGGTTTTTCGTGTCATTTTCTTGAGAAAATGAGTCACCGAAATGTTGAAGACTTTTTAAATTTTGAAACCTTGAAGAAAAATGGAATTTCTCGTGTTTATTTCGTGAGGAAATTAACACCGAGATGAGAAAAAATGTCCAAAAAATATGAATGGCGCGGTTAGAATTTATTTTTTTTTGTTTTCTTTCTCCCAGTCTCTAGTTTTGGTTTTTTTTCCGATTATTAAACTACTCTTGAAAATTTGTATAGTCATTGGAAAAACAGATTTCTGTGTACCTTTAAAAAAAACATTGTATTTGGTATTGTTACAAGTCCGTTTTTTTAAAGGCCTTTTCTTCTCGCAAGTGCGTATTAGTTTAAGAGCTTTGATAGTGATATTAATACAGAAAAATGAAACGAATTATTTTAAAAATTTGAAATTTCAATCCTCGTGTGTTTTCTAAGAGAAAACGCGCTCCGAGGAGAAAAAAAAAATGTCCGAGCCTTAGGCAAGTTTCATCATGAAATATGCTCCAAGGAAAATAAAATGTCCGAAAAATATTCTCGGCGCGATTTGAATCCCCCCCCCCCTTTTTTTTTTGAACTTTTTGATGGATTTAGGCAATTTTTTCATTACAGAAAATTTGAGGAGCAAAGTTTAGATCCATACATTTTTTTTTGATCGTGCGATTCCTCGATTTCGTTTTCCTTTGACTGTCCTGCGTCATGTTTTTCATTTTACTAGACTGAATGGGGTTATCATTTGAATATTAGCCTTTTGAGATGAAAATTGGGGGGCATTGAAGGGTCAGCACAACTACCTGGAAATCTCAAGGAAAAAAATGATTAATAAAAAAAGTAAGAAATGAGCTCTGGTATCTTCGAAAATATAAAGTTTTGATGTTGGCTAAAAAAAGAAAAAAATTAATTCTATTTTTTTTAAACAAAGAAATTTGGAAACTTTTGAATCTCGTGTGTTTTTCTAGCAGAGGAAAAAAAGGAAAGGAAATTAGAGCCTTGGGCAAGTTTCATCATGAAATATGCTCCAAGGAGAATAAGAATAAAAAAATCCAAAAAAATATGCTTGGCGGGGTTCAAATTAGCATTTTTTTCAATTTTCTAAAAATTTTATTTATTTACTTTTTTTGATGAATTCTTTGATGAAAAAGTTATTTATTTTCTTGGATTTGAGTCTTGGTTTGAAGTAGTTTGAAAAAAACGGTATCGATAAACCTTCTGGTCCTCTGGTGGTCGCCAATAGATGTCAAGAACCACTGACAAGTTTTTGAAGAAGCGTTTTTATTGGAGACAAGAAGTAACGAAAATCAAAGTCGAAATATTAAATGCTTTTCATAGGCAGAATCTTAATAAAGATCCCTACGTTCCCAGAAAGATATTAATTCTATAATCTTTAATTATTGGGCTTTTAAATGGTGATGAAAGTTTGAATCTGGGTAATTTACTATTTAAAGTCATGTTTAATGATAAAATAAGAGCCATGAATGAAGGTGGTAAGGGATAAAAAGGATTAGGCTATTGTTTCAATGATCAGAAAAAATGGAGAATTTATTTTCCTTGTCCTTGGTGGAGTGGAAGAAAACTCCAAAAAGTTTGTCCACAAGATAGGATGAATAAAAAAGTTATTTTACAAAATTCAGGTCCCATGAATTTTCCACTAAACGGTCCCAGAGCTACATTAAATCATAAAAAATGGCATGATGGGATTTTTTTTTCTGCGAATTATTTTTAGCGACCCTCCGAACTGATCGCTGCTATTTCTTTTTTGGATAGGCAAAAATTGAAAATTATCTGCGCTTCCTCATCCGAGAGACTGGTTTATTTTATTTTTAATTTATTTTAGTTATAATTAAAGGAATTTTTTTTTTCCAATGTTAGAGTTACTAATTTGATGGTTTTAGGCCCTTAAAAAAATAAAATTTTAAAGTTTTGGTCCTCAGAGTCAAGACATGTTTTCGAAATGAAAAATAGTTGATAAACACGTTTCCGTATGGTTTATCGAAGGATTCAAGCGCCAAAAAGTGAAAAATATCCAAAAAAGCTGAACTTGAAAAAAAAGTCTTTTTCCTGATAAAATTGAATTTTCGTGTGTTTTCTAGCAGAAAACAAGCTCCAAGAAAAAAAAAAAGAAAGTCCGAGCCTTGGGCAAGTTTCATGATGAAATATGCTCCAAGGAGAATAAAAAAATCCAAAAAAATATGCTTGGCGGGGTTTGGATTTTTTTACAGAATCCAGGGCCCATGAACTTTCCAATAAACGGTCCCAGAGGTAAATAAAATCAAAAAAATGGCGTGATGGGATTTTTTTTTTCTGCGAATTGTTTTTAGTGACCCTCCCGGTCTTGTAGCTGCGATTTTATATTGGGATGGGCAAACATTCAGAATTATCTGCGCTTTCTCGTCCGAGAGATACGCTAAATAGCTATAAAAAAACTAGTTTATTTTATTATTGATTTATTTTAGTTATAATCAAGGAATTTTTTTTTTCCAATGTTAGAGTTACTAATTTGATGGTTTTAGGCCCTTAAAAAAAAATAAAATTTTAAAGTTTTGGTCCTCAGAGTCAAGACATGTTTTCGAAATGAAAAATAGTTGATAAACACGTTTCCGTATGGTTTATCGAAGGATTTCAGTGCCGAAATTGAAAAGTGACCAAAAAAGCTGAACTTTGAAAAAAAAAGCCTTTTCCGTGATAAAAATTGAGTTCTCGTGTGTTTTCCAGCAGAAAACAAGCTCCAAGAAAAAAAAAAGAAAGTCCGAGCCTTGGGCAAGTTTCATGATGAAATATGCTCCAAGGAGAATGAAAAAAAATCCAAAAAATATGCTTGGCCCGGTTTGAATTTTTTTTTTTCGTTTTAGCGGGTGGAAATTGCTTTCTCATAGTTTTTGGCTACATAAAATGTTAGTTTTTGAGACCTTGCAGTTTCTCTGAGTGGGATTTGATCTTTAGAAAGTTAAAAAAATATTAATTCAGGAGGACTTGAACATTTGATTTAGGCAACTTGACTCATCCTGTGCGTTTGGAGTTGCAAATTAAATGGAAATTTTAGATCCTTGTGTGATTTTCTATTGAAAGTCAGCTCCGAGGTTAATTTTTGAAATGAGAATTGAGATCTCGTGTGAATTTTGGGAAAAACTCAAGCGCCGAGGTAGGAAGAAAAATTTGAAAAAAATGGTGCTATGAGAAGAGTTTTTTATTTACGGAGAGTACTGTAGGCGAATTGCGTGCATGCACTTTGTGTGTTCGAAATTTCGTTGCGGGATGTCACCGGGTTATTTTTTCGAAAAAGATTTTCATTTTTCTTGATGATATTTACACGATGAAAAACAGTATCAAAAAAAAATTCCGAAAAAAAACACCGGTGACGTCACGCAACGAAAGTGTAAACACACATAGTGCATACACGCGAGGCACATACCGTACTCTCCGAAATAAAAAAACTCGCTTTTGTCATAGCGCCGAAAAAACTCCAAAACGTGTGCTTGGCTCGATTTTAATTAATTTAAACGACGTAAACGGGGCCGAAGTCCATCATATATAATAATTTTTTGCATTTTTTTGCGTGACTTGAGGCGTGATTTGATTGCTGCAATGAAGTATTAATCCAACAAAAAAAAAGTTAAAATTTATATTACAGAATAAGATGGACTTTTTCTCCATGCTTTCTGGGCAAATTATTCCAGAAAGATGAAAAAAATATGTTGCGAAATTTTTATGGAAAAATGAAATTTTTTTAAACGCCTAGATGTGAAATCGCTGCTAGCAATATCATTGAGACTAAAAAATATTGTGATCGAGTTTTTCTCTACTTTTTCTACAGTAAAAAGGCGTGGAGAGATTTTTTTGGTGAAAAGCTCAAAAAAAGAACTTTTTTTCTTTGGCTCCGGTTTTTTTCTAATGTAAGAGCATTTTTTTGAACAGTCCATTGAAAAAAAAACCCAATTTTTTAAGTTTCCTTTTACACGTAACATGTTTTAAATTAGTTCAAACCTAGTGGTATTTTGATTAAAAAATGAGCTCCGAGGTTGAATTCACAATTAAAAAGTTGAAAATTGAGTGAATTTCAGAAAAAAAATTCAAGCGCCAAGATTGTTTCAAAAGAAACAAAGAAAAAATGAAAAAATGAAAAAGTCCAAAATTACGCTCGACAAGGTTTGATTAACTTTTTTTTTGTTCTTTCTTTTCTTTTGGGCATTTTATCAAAATTTTGCTGAAAAGGCGTTCATTAGCTCTTTGGACTTGTCGTGTCACAAGTGGGGGAAAAAAATTCAAAAAAATGAAAAATCAAAAAAATGAGGCAGGTTTTATTACCGATAAGTCTTGAAAACTGAGCCCTCGTGTGTTTTTTTAGAAAAAAACATGCTCCGAGGTGAAATAAAAAAATGTGAATATTCAGCCTTGTGCAACCTTCGGGATGAATTATGCTCCAAGGAAATTCAAAAAAACGATTATAATGCAAAATGATCTGGAAATGAAACATCTAGAAATGAAATACTCTTTTTTTGAAGAAAATTAGCCAGCTTTTTGACATTTCTTATAAAAATATCACAAAGTTGTAGAAAGTTTCAATAAAAAAATGAAGAAAAATTGGACCCCAGGATGCCCCGAAAATTCATTCCGCTGTCAAAAAAGAGTTATTTAACAGTTTTTGCACCTTTTTTAAGATTGAAACATTAAAAAAAATTGAAAAAGAACCTTCCAGATCCACTCTAAAAAAGACCACTGTTTGAGATTCAAATGGGACTCTTTAGAATGATTCTGGAAGATTTTTTTTTTGATCCTCAGAAAATCAAATATTTCAATCAGAAATGGCGCTTGACTGTAGAATCGTCTATGAAAAAAGCGGAGAAAATTTGTTGAGACAGTTTGGAAACTGCAATTTCCTACATTTTGGGCTACAAAGTCATTAAGAGAAAAATAAAAATTGATTGGATTATAATTATTTTCATAAATTATGACAAAAGCTGGCTAATAAGTCTCTGAATCGAATAAGCTTTATAAGCGTTCCAAAAAGAATCAAAAAGAAAATTTCCAGAGGATGACAAAAGACGGAAAGAAAAGACGTGGAGTGACGGTCCGTCGGCGTCGAACGATTCAAGTGGGCGGGGCCTATTGTGGGCGGGGCCAAGCCGCCTCCGCTCTCCGTCGTCTTGTTCGAAATGGACAAGGTGGGGACCGATGAAAGTTCAATATTGTAGTTTTAGAAAAGCACTTGTGAATCCTTTAAAATTAATTTTTAGAAGAGAATGGGAACTTCAATATATGAAAAATACTGGGAAAGGTTGGACTAAACTTTTTTCGAGCTTGAAATCAATTTTCGCAAGTCAGAGCGAACTAATAAAAATTTTTTTTCGCTCGAAGAAAGTTCAATAAATAGTAAATACTCAGTAATGTTGATCTGTTCAGGGATATTCTAAAAAAATATAAAAATTGGGATTCAAACTTTTATTAACTTCCGAGATTATTATCTTTCTTGTAAGATATACTTTTTCAGTTAAGGTTCATTTTTCAAGCCTGAAGACTTGATTGAAAAACAAGGGGAAGATGTAGAAGGTGTTGGCAAAAGTTCAAAAAAAGACGCCACGGGACGGTCGGCCAGTGGAAGGGACGCCGGCGGCACCAGGCTCCTCGTCATCTTTTCGAAACATGGCAAGACGCCAAGATGTAAAAACTGTCCTTTTTTGTATTAGAGAGACTTGCTGAATAAGAGTTTGTGTATCAATCAGAAAATTAGCTCATAAAAGAACTTCTGAGAAAGACTAAAAACGTTGTTTTTCTTGTCAAATGAGTTTTGCCGTCAGTTGTTGAGATAAAGGTCTTTTTAGTGACTGCTCAAAATTTTAAAAAAGCCATTCTGATCTCATTTCAGGAAAAGACATGAATACTGCTACTGGTTCATAAATATAGGCACGTTTTGTTACTCCGCTTTTTTTGATAGAATTAAAAAATAAGTTCTTGTTTCTGGTTGCAAATATTCTCTGTGCGCATTCTTTTCATCAGTCTGGGCTGTTTTTTCTTCGCGAAGAAGCTTACTACATAGTTCAGTTCAAGTTTTGAAAAAATTCTTCTTTTTTTTCACTTCAACAAACTCAAAAATTTGCTCAAGATCCTTTCTCTATTAGGAAAAATGGAAAGATCTAGAAAGTTCAAAAAGAACAAAAGACGCCGCGGGACGGTCGGCCAGTGGAAGGGACGCCGGCGGCACCAGGCTCCTCGTCATCTTTTCGAAACATGGCAAGACGCCAAAGCGTTCCTTCTCTCTTTTCGTGAGGGGCTTGCGAAAATCAAAAAAAAGTGAAAAATAAATGCGAGAATGGTATTTTCAAGGCTATTGGCTATTTTAGAGATGAGTTGATAATGAAAGGTTTGGAAGCTAAAAAATGGCTCATCTTTCTTTTTTAATAATGGGAACTTGCCAAAACTCAGAGACTGGCTTTTTATAACCTAGGGGGGGGGGGGCTTGGAAACACGATAAAAAATTTAAAAAGTGGCTAGGAAAAAAGGGCCAAAAAGGTCTCTGAAAATAAAAAATTACAGCTTTGAAGTCATCTTCAAACGGTTCTCTGTGTACTCTGTGTCTTATTCAAAGACGCACTGTTATTTCAATTTTTTGAATTTCCTTCTGAAAGACTTGCTAAACCTTGTCTCATCTCAATGTACATTCCTAGGCTCGATCAAGGTGTATCCATCGGGTTTTCGTTGTTTTTTGGACCTTTCTTTATTTCACATTTCACTATCTAGTTCATTTAAAATTTCTTCTTTTCTTTGAGCCGAACGTCTTCGAAAACCCCCAATTGATCCACTTTACATTAGAGACAATGGAAAGATCTAGAAAGTCCAAATAGAACAAAAGACGCCGAGTGACGGTCGGCCGGCGGCACCAGGCTCCTCGTCATCTTTTCGAAACATGGCAACTCGCCAACACGTTTTTTCTGTCTCTTTTCGTAACACAGGGGCTTGCGAAAATCAAAAAAAGGTGAAAAATAACATCGAGAATGGTTTTTTCAAGGCTATTGGCTATTTTAGAGATGAGCTGATGACAAAAATTTGTAAGCTTAAAACGGCTCATTTTCATCAAGGTGACCAAATTCTTGGTTTTTCGTTTCTTTTCCCACTGATTTTTGAGCAAACCTCAAGGATAATACGTTATTGAGGACGCCAGATATTCCTTCTTAAGTGCCCCTCCTCGAGTCTTCCCTGGTCTTTTTTGGGTCAGGCCATCACCAGATTGCCTCGTTTTTGAAGTTACCGATGGATAGAAGTATATTTAGCCCCTTATATTGAAAAATTAATATCAACTTGCATTTTTTAAATTTTACATGGATAGATTACAATAATCGGTCCGAAAAATATGTTCGGCATGGTTTGAATTTTTTTTTTGTTTTCGGATTTCGTATTTTTCGATTTTCCCTTGGAAAGTTGCCTGCTGTAGTGATTTGTTTCAATCAAGAGGATTCGAGTAGAAAAAAATTAATATCTATAAAGTTTTTTTTATCTAACATCACATTTTTTTTCAATTTTGGATCCACTTTTCTCCCAGTCTTCCCTGACTTCTTTTGCCTGTTCTAAATTAAACTGAACTTTGAACTTTTTAGTTCAAATTTAGTTTTTTAGGTGTTAGCAAAGCCTCAATCTGTGTAGCAGTTTTTGATTGAAATATTGGATTTTTCATGGTTAGACGGGTATTTTCAATATTTTCATTCTTACTTCTAAATTTTGGAACTTTATTTTTTTTTCAGCATTTTGAGTGACATAACATTGACAGGTACATAAGGTGGAACCAATGAGGAAGAGTTGACGGGAACTTGAATCGATGGAGGAGTCAGTGTTGTTCACAGTAAGCTGAGCTGCTCCCTCTGTTCTCCTTTCTTTGTTCACTTTTCCGATGAAGACAGTCTAACAAAGAATTTATCTCAAACTTGGGTAATTAAACCATATAAATAAAATAGAACGAAACAAATTATAAAATGCGACAATAACTATAAAATTGTTGGGCTGGCCAGAGGAGGGAGTCCAAAAGGTTTGAGACAGGCCAGAGATGTCGAGGAAACGGTCTTTTTCCTCTTCAAGGAGCGAACCAGAATCGTTAATAACGAACGGTCTCTTCTGACTCTTGAAAGGGACCAGCATCCTCTTGTTTAGCGTCTCTGGCCTATTTATGTTAGTTGTGAAACACAAATAAGCAGTTTGGTTATGTGGATTTGAAAGGTCAGTATTTATCATAGCTATATTGGCTTTTTCTTTGTCTTCCGACGAAAGAGGACATGATGATTTTTTGCAAAAGTTTTGAGACGATCAAGGAAAATAAATACTGCTTCGATTTTTTAAAGTGCTAATTTTGAATCTCCAAAATAATCGCCATATTTGGATCGTTTGTGATTAACACAAATTTCGGTCCATTGGTTATGATAGGCCAACAAGCGATTATAAGAGTTGGACAATGATGATATCTCAATGTTTAGTTCGGTGTAAATGTCTGGACTAACGACGGGATCAAGCATTTTCTCAAGTTGAGTGGACAATTGAGTAGGTTTTTAGGATGTCGTCTATGTGAGCTACTGTCCGCTGGACTCTCAGATTTTCGGAGGGAGACGGATTTGGTGGCATTTAGAATATGGCCTACTGATTTCGCCCCGTAACTCAGCTTGACGAACGTCGTGTAGTTTAGTCGAGTCAAGTCGTCGTTGGTTTGTCGTTGTAGACGGAAGTAGCAGTGGTGGTAGATGAAGGGTAGCAGATGGCAGTTGTGTTAGATGTTGGTAGCGGTTCAAAAAGCCAAAGTGGTCGCCATGTAAATGAGTAGTATCAACTTAACTGGAACTTTAGAATATACAGATTCTAACTTTAATGATGACCGGAAACCCACGACGAATATTTTTGATTGTTTCAAAGTGCCAAATCTCGATTTCGATATCATTTTTAAAGAACCTTTTCGACACCTATAATTGTTATAACCGCGATCATCGTTTTAATAATAGTGTTAAGAAAGAAAAAATATTATAAGAATGTTATTCGTTTTGCTTTGGGAGTGTAATGCTTTTTTATATTATGAATTTATCACCGCCCGGTCACCTATAGTATTGTTTTATAATGGAATATAAGAAACGAGCTTTTGAAATGAATATTCTCAGAACCAGAATCATTTACGGTTTTCAGAAAATGGGATATACAGTTGAGCAGTTGAGCGTCGAACCCATCAATAAAATAGTAGTAGATTTAAACCCTTTACACAAGGATAACTCGGGTAATTTGGGAAAATAAAGCAAGTTTCTATTTCTCGTGTGTTTTTCACATAGAAAACCAACCCCGAGAGTTTTGAAAAAAAAAATTGGTTATAATCGCTCGAAAAAGTTTCTCAGAGCCTCGTGCAAAAAAGATTTATCAGAATGCCCCGAGGCTCCACCGAAAGCTATGCTCGGCCTGATTCGAATTTTTTTTTGTCGGAAGAAATTTTTATTTTTTTTGGACTGGTAGGATTTAAAAAGGGAATGAATGAATATGCCGGAGATGGATGAGTAGGATGATAAAAAAAAGAGTCAAATGGATGCCTACTGAATTTCCCTTGAGTTCGAGAAAAATGTAGAAACTGACTCTTTACGATGCCGCTCCCTGCTCAGCGGGTTTTTGTCTTGAGTGAGCGTTGAATTGGATCAAATCACGATCCTTTCAAACTCAAACTTGGGTAACTAAACCTTTATCATAAATATTCCGCGAACAAAATTATAACAATAAAGCAATAAATTCAAATCAACAATAAGAATGGAAGATTGAGTAAAATGAAAAAGAATGAAAGAGGAGAAATGGTTTGGGGGGCGAACGACGTGGCTGGCTAGACAGGTAATGGAATGGTTCCTAATGGACCTTTCCCCTGGCGAGCCGGCCACGTCGTCCTCTGAATGGCGGGGAGGCGACTACCTTTGAGTCGGTGTCGACAGGATTTGTTGAAAGAAATGATAGTAAAAACAATATTGATAGCTGGAAGCCAGGTTTAATTGATTAGAAAAAAAAGAAGTGTTAGTTTTGAATTGAGAGGACTTATACCGAGATAAATTCCCTTTGTTTTGTGTTATTTCAAGTTCAAGTTTTTTTATAATTACTTATTGAAATTTGAGTCCTCGTGTGGTTTTATTGAAGAAAAATCAAGCCCCGAGGATAATTATAATACAAAAAAGGGTGTCCAAAAGCTGTGTTCGGCGCGATTTAATTAATTTTTTTGAATTTAATAAAAAGTTCGAAACTTTAAAAATCTTCTTTTTCAGGCGATTTTCTCAAATTAGCTGCTGAATGAGTATCTTTTTCAAAAAAGCTATAGATTGATTTTTTCAGGTAGTAATGTTCATGTTGTGAAAAAGGTGTTGTAGGAGTTTAAACTTAGTTAAGGGGGAGAAATTCGAATTTCGGGACTTTGAATTTTTCAGGCATTTTGAGGTGCACCCCAGGTGCAGTACAGTGTATCAGGGGTGCACCACAAGTTTCATAAGGCTCAATTGGGTTTGGACACTCAACCCCTACAGTATGTCAAAGTGGGATACCGTAACCCCTACAGTATGCTCATGTGTGATACCGTAACCCCTACAGTAGCCATACAACGTGCAGCTATGAAAGGGGTTACCTTAGCTCACTCTGGAGTACTGTAGGGGTTACGGTATTTCATTTTTGGTTACTGTAGATTGTTTTGTAGTAACCTACGGTGGGTTACGCAAGTGACCCCTAGTGATGGTTTTTATAGAAATCCGACAGATATAATCGGCCCAAATTTGCTTTTTTTAAATATTTCTACTTGTATCGTTTCGGAAGTTTGTGGAGATTGGATTTTCTCAAGATTCACGATAAAATTACCTAGGGTTTCATGAAAAATTGGCACATTTTTGATTGGATTTGGAGATATTGGTGCACTCTTATCCTTAAACTTTGTGAGATTCTTTTAGACATTTTGTTGGACTTTTTGTTGTGGTAAATGCTTTTTAGGTTGAAATTACTGGCTAAAAAGTTGAGTGATCCATCAATTTTTATTAGACCGAGAGACGCCTTGATTTCTCTTCGTGAGTGTCTGATTATTTTTTTAGATTATCATCGTTAAAATTTGAAAAGTAGTTTTTTTTTTCTAATTTCATACAATCTTTCTAATACTGAAGTGGATAGTTTCAGATTTCGGATGGTTCTAAAAAATTCTTTCACCAAGGGTTTTCAAAATAATTTTTCTTCATGGAAAAAAAATGTTATAAACGGAGATATTTTTGAAAAAGTTTTTTTTTCGTTTTGAGATGTTAATTTTATTTTAATTGATTGGACCCTTTTACTTTCGGAAAAAGTGAGCATCGTTCAATTTTGCAAGAATGCGACAACTTGAGAACTTTTTTTCAAAAATATAACTATCCTGGTTTTTAAGAGAAAAATGGAGAAGAAAGTTGAGTAATTGGGCGTCGAACCCATGAATAAAATAGAAGCAGATTAAAAATCCTTTTTACTTACTAAAAAAATAAAAAGGTCAGGTGAAAGTGAAGCAATTTGTTATTTCTCGTGTGTTTTTCCATGGAAAACCAGCGCCGAGCGAATTTTGTTGGTGAAAAAAAACGGTCAAAGATTTCCTTCAAAACGTTTTGTTTGAGTGATCATTTAAGGGATCGTTTTTGAAAAGAAACAACTTTTTCGGATCATTTTAGTACTTAAGACCAAAACGCTCTTCTGCTCTATTTTGTGTCAAAAATGGAAAAGTTATGAGAAATATATTTTTATTTTGAAATTAAGGCTGAAATTAGGTTTCTCGTGTCATTTTTCGAAGCTCCAAGAAGTGAAAAAATGAAAAAAAAAAATGTCCGAAAAATATGCCCGGCGAGATTTGAATTTTTTTATTGGGTCTGTCTGGCTTGCTTGTGTCTTCCTCGTAATTTCAGTTATTGAAATTTCCAAAAATCTTCTGAACGGCTTGAACGCTTTTTGTTGTGATTCCATTTTTAATTCCTCTTTCTTAAGGATCTTTGGGCTGTAGCTTTTTTTTTAATGTTTTGTTTGAGTGCTCATTTAAGGGATCGTTTTTTGGAAAGAAGCATATTTTTCTGTGTTCCTGTAGTACAAAGGCGGAGGATTCCAATAATCGTGCATTTTTCTTTTTTTTTCTCGAAAACCATCTTCCGAGGAGTTATTTAAAAAGTGTTTATTTTCTCTGTGATCCCGGGTATATATTTTTTCTTTCTGATAACGCTTTTCGTATTAGATTTCACTTTGATAAAAAAGAGATCATCATAAAGTTAAATGAAAAAAAATGCTCCGAGGATCTTAATAAATTACCAAGATCCGTTCTTGATAGCTTTTTGATGAGTAAATAATTTGGAATTTCAGGCCTCGGGAATTTTTACGTCGAAAAAATGACATAAAACTTGCGCCGAGGGTTTTTACCGATAGATATGATCGGCCTGATTTAATTTTTTTTTTTTTTGGGTTTTTGTTGAACTGTTGTTGAAGATGGAATCTGACACAGAGTCTTCATGTCAGCTAGCTTTTTATTTTTTTCTGTGTTCCTGTATTACAAAAGCGGAGGCTTCCCATAATCTTTTAGTTTTTGGTTCAGGATCATTTTTCTTTTTTTTTTCGCTTGAAAACTACCTTTGTGATAGTTTTTGAAAAAAAAAAATGCCTCTTTTTTATTCCTGGTATCCTTCAAATTATACTAGCTTGATTTTTTCAATATTTCAAAGAAAGTTTTCTTTACTCTGTCCAGATTTCTATTGCTGGAAATTAGAATTTTTTATATATTTTTGGAGTTATTGGACCATATGTGAGGAACTCCTTAAGAAAATAGCTTGAAAAATCCTTGAAAAAAAAAGGTTTTGAAAATGAGATCAGAATTCGTTTCAAGATGCTTATAGAGAAAATTGCCCCGAGTTTGGGTGAAATTTTAAAAAAAGACTGTTTTTTATGGATAAGTTCAAAAATCATGGTTTATTGGGTTTCATGTATTCCTTGTAGGAAAGGAATAAATCTCTTTTTTTCTGTGATTTTAGTGTTCTATTTCATTCAAAAATACAGCTCCCAGCAGCGCGAAAAAGTTCAAGAAATATGTATTTATTAAAGACGAGAACACTCTTCTGCTCTATTTTGAGTCAGGAAAAAGAAAAAAATCATGAAAAAAATATATTTTTATT